CAAAACCCTCAGGAAAAGCGATTTCTATTCCGCTACGTGAATCTCCTTGATTACACCACCGGTTTCATCGACGAGCACTTTCACTTTCACCCAAATCGGTGATTGTAGATGGCGGCTATGTCGTAATCATTGCCGTCGTCGATGAGAACAGTGGAGAAAGTTAAATTTAACCTCTTTCTGGTTGAAGTATTAACAAACGTTACACTGTTACGCACACAACGTATGATATATCTTGCAGTTATCCACCATTATGTAAGACGCTATTTGAAAGTTGAGTTCGTAGCTTGTCAGTGTGTTGTAGCGATGTACAGCACGTTTCGGTTTAGTCTGCAATAATAACGTCCTCGAAGCAATTGTTCACTGCGAGCCATTCAAGCTTACTGAAGCGATGGAAGCCCAACAAACCATCCCAAAGCTCGGTTGCAAATGGAAAGTAAAAGCTCCCTGGTAAAAATAATATTCATTGCGTATTATGACGTAAGACGTTTTCATTTCAAATTGAACTCTTACTCTTTTGTTTTATATTATAGAGATTAATTTTTTTCAAACGATTTTGTCTTTGTCTGAGATTTCTACCACTTTTTATTTTTTCTGTTGCTTTCGTTTTGTCGTCATTATAACATTCGCCCTTTCTGCAGGTGGGTGAATTTCTAACGTAGGTAAATGATAACAAATATACGGCATCCACTTCATTGCTTTCAATTTTTGTTTCCGCACAATACTTATCCCGCCTTCTCCCCGAATTTATCTTTCTTCATATCTTTCATTTTCCCTTAAAATTTAAATATGGCTCTCCGACACTCATGAAACTTAAATTTCACACCCCCTTCAAAAGAATAACAAAAATTAGCCTCCCCCTCTCTCTCCCTCTCCCTCTCTATCTCTCTCTCTCTCTATCTATCTCTCTATCTCCTTCTCTCTCTCTCTCTCTCTCTCTCTCTCTCTCTCTATATATATATATATATATATATATATATATATATATATATATATCTCTCTCTCTGTCCGAATCTCCCCAAGTCTCCCCAAGTCTCCCCAAGTCTCTGGAGTTTTTGAATGTATTTATCTATCGATCTCCGTCTCAATCTGTCATCGCCCCTTTAACTTTCTCTCTCTCTCTCTCTCCCTTTCTCTGGTATTATCTTTTATATTTTAAAGTATTTTTGTTAACGGTTATAAACACCGTACAATATTTGATTCCTCACACGCTCTTCGCTAATCCAAAGTGATCAATGCCCGCACCTCGTTGCATAAAAGAAATAGATTTCCTATTTTATTGATGTGCGCCGCTGATGAATCGGCTGAGCAAAAGGACTCCACCCATGAAGCCTGACGGTCCGATGGCGGTTCGGTCGCAGTTCAGCGCACAATACCAATGGACATACTTGCTTTATCCATTCATATTGTAATGAGCTCGGGGAGCGGATTGTTGTTCACAATAGGAAAGAAGGGTGTGTTAAGTTGCGAACAAGAATGCTGGAAGTTCGAGCCGAAGAGGTAATTGTTATGCGTCGGATTAGTAGGGCTGAGATCATCAGATAACAGCAAACACTAGCAGGCCTAAACGCAATACAGAATCGATAATTACATCATTGTTGTTTTCGTGTAAAAAGTAAAATAAGATAATGCTGATTTTATAAATCTTTGTTCGAATATGAGTTGGTCCTTTTCATCGCCTACAAACTGATTCTGATTGGACCCAGGTTCGAAACTGAGTCACGTCTTTCGGATGGTGACCTTAAAGGTCGGTTAATAATCGAATAATGAATGGAAGGCCAGATTGATAATACCTAGTGGTAACTATACATATACTACAAAGTCTCAGTGGACATACTCTATGGCTATTCAAACTGCCTCTTTTCTATTTCACGATCAAACATTTGGAATGAAGGGTACAATGCGTGTGATGTCATTCAGCGTAATAGACCAGTTCACGGTTAGCACATCACTGCAATGACCCCGAATATCCACAGATCTTCAAAACATGAAGACGTCCCACTTTGTACATTTTGAAATAATCACTCCTACAGCGATATATAGATAACCTTTGTTTCCCCTTTTCAAAGAATACTTCCACCTGTGTATCATGGAGTTCATTGATTGTGCATGAATGAATAATGATCACATAACTTTCATGAGCACGCATCCAGTATAACGTCTCAGTGTATTTCAAAATTTGTTCTGCAATGACCTTTATCTGCTCATGCTCAGACTGCAACCGTGAACTGGCTTATTCATAAGACAGAATCGATACCCCCTCCTGACGTGCATGCTTACGAAAGAATACTGCGTACAGAATGATTTCAATGGATTCGAGCGCGCATGAAATTAGCAAGGTCAGTGTACCTTTTCATGTTTTGATTCAGATATAATCTGCATCTACTATCATTATTTGTTATCTCTGGCTTCTTTCTTGTTTATTATTATCACCAAATCTCTCTATATACTTGTGATTATGTATTCATAATAGCTTTTCTTTTTAAAGAGTCTCAGTTTTCAATCTGATGAATACCCCTCCTCTCCTCCCGCTTCTCTGTTTATCTGTCTATTTACTTGCCTATCTCTCTCTCTCTCTCACTGGTACTTTCTCTATCTCTCAGCCTGTTTTTCGGTGAATAGGATTGAAATAAAAACTCATGACCCCATTTATCGCCTCACCCCTTTCCCCGTAACCGTCTATACTAGTTCTATAAAGGGACACTATAAAGGGACACTACTCTATACCCCCTCCACCTTTTCTGCAGTGCGCGTTTCTTTAAGAGTACCGTAGTGTGACGTCATACTGGCCAATTTACCAAGTTCCAAACAATTTTGTGCTAGACAATGGCGTGGGGATCACGCCAGTGATAGACACTGACTTTGCCCTGCTCCAGCCCATTGCCTAAATGATTTCGCGGTGAACCTCATGCGCAGGCTTTACTGTTTGGAACAAATAGCCTGAACAACGAGCGAATATGACGAAAATGCAAGTACCTCTTTGTTCTATTTGACCAAACCGAAATAAAAACATTTGAACAAGTCATGGTATCTTAAAATCCATAGAAATTTGTTTTATTTAAAGTAGATTTGTAGCTTTGAAACATTTACATCGTTTAGCATAATTTAGAAGACACTTTAAAATTAAGCTGTCTGTATATATTGAAATGATATTCAAGATTTGTAACGTACACCTTAGTATTTATAAAGAAGACTGATTAGAATGCACGTTTTTCAAAAACATATATTTAATATACATGAACGAAAGACTTCAAATTATTTTCACTTTATTTCTTACTTCAATTTTGCCAGCCAAATTATACACAAGGCATAGCCAACTTTGCAGAATATATTGAAAGACATTTCATATTTCAGTTTTAACAAAGACAAGATGAAATTGTTCAGCAACCTCTCAATCTAATTTTCGAATTAATCTAAATGATTCTATTTACCCACCAATAATTTTTTTAAGAAGAAGATAAAAAAATTCATTAACAAATCAATTTTAGTTCCCATATTACGGTTTTAGGTTAGCCATCATTATTTGATGTGCAATAGAGTATGTATCATATTAAATTTTTCACATTATTCAGTGAAAGTCCATTTTATTTACAAACGTACAGATTTAATTAAGCGAAGTGATAAAAATGCAGTGATTTCTCATTTGAGAAAGAGAAAACAGAAAAAGAAGAATTTGAATTCATCATAAAAACGAGAGATGCACATAATTGCCATTTTTTCCAGTTTCGTCGCAAATCAATATCCTGACTAACTATCCCCATACCATACTACGCAAAAAATATGATGAAAGCTTTTTCATCATAGGACAACTTAGACATAATGAAGCTATACATGAATTAAAATGCTGATTAATCTGATGGAAGAAAACAAATTATGCCGCACGGCATTTTGCATGGTGGTACTCATTTAAAAGAATAATTCCGCAGATAGGATTTAACTCTAATATTCCAAGTAGTATCTTCATTCTTATCTGACACGATCTGTTGTAGTACTTGCCATAATGAAACTATCAAGGAAGTAAATTCAAATAAGAGGATTTTTATTAGGCTGTAGCAACAAGTACATCATTACATTATTATTACTACTGAATAAAGCATGGTGTTAATGCTTAAATGAAAGTTCAAATTTCATCAAACAAATTAACAAATTGTACAATGTTTTAGGGGCATAAATCTACTTTCAGTTATGTATAAATGTTCTTATATCCTAATACACTTGCTTCTGAAATTAAGAATGTAAATGCGGTGTTATTTAAGTTCACGTTAAGCTTGTTATATATAAAATTAGACAAATAAGAAAGAAATATCATCAAAGTATCAAGGCTACTCAGCACTTAAAACAAATGTGCAAATGACAAACCCACCCTCCGTGCAGAATTTCTTTAACGTTGTGACTAAAAAATAGCACCCTATTATACTCTGCCATCAAAAAAATAATCTCAAATACAATGTGAACACAGTATCAAAAACACAGAGTGAAGTATGAACAAACTCCCACACATGGTGCAAGTAAAATAGCGTACTGTAAACACATTGTCACACAAAATTAACACACAACCAAACCTAATGTGACAACAAAGCGTCACACACGATATGTTCACATATATGATTTGGAACACCTCATGATGTTGACATTGCGAATACACCCTTCCCAAAGCGTGAACAAGTTTATGACCAAGAAAATTAGAGTGTTAACACATATAGGCCTGGTGTTCACACTATGAACAAATTGGAGCAGGTGACAAATGTGAGAATTCTGTTTTCACACATGTTCACACTGTATTCAGACTGTTTTCGTTGTATTTTAAACTGATGATCAAATCAAGACCAAAATCCACTAATTTATGGAGCACCAGAATTCAACATCATCATCTCATAAAATATCATACAATTACATTATTTTATATAATTGTATATATTGTACAGTACTCTACTAAGTGCTTTTTTTTTTGGGGGGGGGGGGTAATTTCATTATGAAATACAATCCCAATTATTATTTCATTCTAGAATTAATTTCGTGTATTCGTTTTATTACAAAATTACAGTGATTGTAAAGAATAAAGAAGATGACAAGAGGCGTTCCATAAATCATTAATCTACGATAAACCAGGGCCCTCTTGTCATTGATATTAAAACAAAAAAAATATCTACTGTTTTATTTAAAAAATACATATTCTCGCGGTCAATCTAATGCAATGATCTCAGGAGATTTAAACGGTTGATTTAAGCTTTGTTATTGATAACAAGCTGTATGTTACAGGGTATTGTTTAACTTACTCCGATTTTGCGTCTAAAAGCCTATGTGCTTACGGTAGTGTAAAATAAGTGATGATCGTCTTAATTTTTTTCGTCCTTTCCGGAGAAATAAACACATCCGATGATGAGGAGAACAAGAAGAATGAAAGCTAAGGTACCTGCTACGGCAAAAACAACTATCCATTGCTGCTCCAACTCTCCAGCAGAAGTTAGAGGTGCGCTCGTCACAAACTCTGTTTAACAAAAACACAAATGTAGAGAAAGATAGGGGAAATTAAAACAGTGAATATAAAACTACATTTTAAACATGGTAATTTGATATGGCACGGGTTTCAGAGTGAAAATGTTTTGAGTCTTATATACCTACTTTTTCGAATCGTCGAGATTCAAAATGTTCTCAAATACCATTTTAGTATAGTATCTTAGTTGATGTGCCCTCAGGAAAAGTTCTCCAATGTGAGGACTTGCCATCGGGGTAATCGTCCTTTATTATAATTTGGCCAGAAAGGGGCAGTTATTCTTAAGGATAAAGTGTATGATCAGTTTTCCTAATATGAATACCTTTATCTTTACGTCCCGCTTTTCATCACGTATTTAGACTGTGGAAAATTAACGCCACCTTCAGCAAAAATCCTATCAATATCAATTATCTCAAGAATACCGAAAACAGATTTGAATGGAACTTCTAACTATTACTTCATGAAAAAAGCTATTCAGATGGTTATTTATGATTCAAGAACTTACGTTGTCGACAAAGATCGCCAGTGAATCCGCTTTGACAGTCACATCTCACAAAGTTCAGGCGGTCGTAGCATGTACCTCCATTTTCACAAGGGTTGCTCAGGCAGTCATCGGTATCTGTGAAAATAGGTCAATTATAACATGAAAATAGGATATTTGAATATCTCTTATTGATACGGAAAATGATAGTTGAGACTTATGTGTTGTATCGGTAATATCAGGATACTACGGTTATAACAACAAAGGGTTTTATTCACTAAAACTAAAACTTATAGGTAGGTGTAGGCCTATATATTAAATGTAACCGGGGGGGGGGAGATAAATGTGAAAAGGATAAGAAGGATCCTTTGCATCTCTTGTTCAGTTAAAATTAATGAAAAAATACCTCATTGACGTCGAACATTCATTAGACCTCTTAACGTGGTCAATAAAAAATACAATAACATGATCGCAACTAATTTCGAAAAATCAAATCAAGGGCAGTTTCAACCCTTATTGTACATCCCATATAAATCATGTTCGGGGTACGTACGTAAAACTTTATTGTCAAGTTCGCACTTCTCAACCGGTGACACACAAGGCTATTGAAATTGCTTCAGGTTCATTTTTTGAAATTAGTTGCTTATGTGTTCCATGTACTTTGTAATGGGCTCACCTCTTTCGCAGTACATTCCCTCGTATCCAGCGTCGCAAATGCATTCTCCGTTGCTGCATCGTCCATTAGTACATGTTCGATCGCTACACATCTCTGTTACAATTGCTGTTAAAAAGAAATGAAAATTATGGTTAGATTTGAGTTATGCTACGGTCACAAAGGTTCATACGAACGATAATTTCGTACGAATCTCCCTGTTTTTCCATTGTCTGAAAAACGTTCGTACGGCGTTCGTAACAGTTCGTAATGGCATTTGTGACCGAGGCTTTAGTTAAGCGGTACGGTCAGCTCTCTATCTATACCGACTCTGACATGAAGCGGTTGAAAACGAAGTCGCTTCTTTCGGATGTTGGCGTTAAAGGCCAGACCCCTCTTACTATGGTAGCCCACGAACAAAAATCAGACAACATAGCCATTACTAACTGCCATAGTAACTGCTATGCATTTATCATCATTACTTCATCATTTTCATTTCCATTGCCCCCTATGCCTGTTAGGGTCTCTCTTTTTAAAACTGATTCATATGGTTCCTAACATTTGGTTTGTGTATAACCACCCATCCATGAGACCTACATATAACGTCATACCCGAGGGACAAGGTAACCTCACTTCATAGAAACAGGAGAGGAGTACCTTCACCCACATTAATGTCTCAATCCCTATGTACTCGTTCATATTGAATTACGAATAATCAAATGCGTAATTTCTCGATATTAGAGATAAGAGATGTTTGAATAATAGTTAGGAATTCGTTTCATTTTTTTGCAAAACTGTTCTTATATTTAGTTTAACTGTTTTCAATTTTGCCCATGAACTGTACTTTAATCAGACAAGTTAAGTTATTCTGATTCATAAATACGCTTGGTTATATTTTGAAATCTGAATTTCGAGTCACGAATATCACTCTTATGTCTAGGCAAAAAAGAGAAATCACATAAATATTTGTACTTAAGTGAAAATAATTTATGAGCTTTCATGTTCTTTGTTTTCCTTTGTGAAATCAATATTATATCAACGCTTTATGAAAAAGGGTTGATCTTGAAAGCTGGCATATACGAAATATAATTAATTACAATCTATATCATTGGACAGATTTTGATACCGCATGTAGTCTATGTGTAGTCACAAATATTATTATATTTTAGACATATGTGTTGCTTTTATCAAGATTGGGAAAATTCGTTATGATCTTTTTATTTCAAAATATCACAACGTAATACTTTTCTCACGCAATGCACAATCAACCTATTCCAACTAGTTTTGTTCAATCTCCTTTACAGTGCAATGATCACAAGATTATGCAATTTCATCTTTCATATGTTCTCTTTGAAAATCCCCTTTGGCGCCAGTATCCCCTGTAGCCCCATCTCAGGTCAGCTGTATCAGTATAGTGCCGTAACTCGCTGATTCCCTGTCTACGAAGTGGGAATTAGGTATTGGGTTACGCACTGTTCGTAAGTTAACCATGAGATGGCGCTGTGTGATAAAAAAAAGTTCATCGGTTCAGTCTCGCTCAAGTTGCTGAATCCCTTACCTTCAGTGCAAGTCCTGCCGGTATATTCAGGTGCGCAGACGCATTGGGTGTTCCCATTCTGTTTGATGCATGTTGCTCCATTTTCGCAGTTGTTGATTTCATTGGCACTACAGACAGTTCCGTCAACTGCAAAAAAAAAAAAAAAATATATATATATATATATATATTAGTTTGAACATTCATCGATCCTCAATATGCTCAGAGTGTGTCAATTTTCAACGGATAACATTACTGAACTCCAGAAAAAACATTGAGACATGATTCAGAAGCCTTGCTGTTAGCACTTTATTTCATGACCCTAGATTACAAGTGTTTCTCAAATGAACTATTTATACTTTATACATGATGTTCCATCTTTGATAATTAAACAAGGCCACTCGGAATGAAAGATGGGATCATAAAGATACAAATTCAGAAGTAGCATGCAAAAGCTTAAAATTTATGGAAGTGCTACTCCTCACTAGTGACCGTAGCACATTATTAAAAAGTCCGATATACATACTGGTCTAGGAATCGCGATTTACCCTAGGAGCTTCAACTGCTGCCGCTATGTCAGTAAAACCAAGATATTTTGGCCACAGCTTAATTATTTCGAAACGCTCTTTGATCATTTTTTGATCATCATTATACAAGTTGTCTGTAATGATGCTAGTTTAAAAGATGTCTCTATTAAACTTACATTATCAAGCCTGTTTAACCCTTATGAAAATAACACAGTAGCAATTTACAACACAAAACCTCACTCGCCGTGACAGACAGGTGGTCAGCTCATACTTACCAAGACTGCAAGTTTTTCCTGTCCATCCTTCGGGGCATTGACACTCAAAATCTCCGAGCACGAGTACCTCCCTACATGTTCCTCCGTTCTGGCATGGCAGAGGGAGACAATTACCTGTCATAAAAAGAGACAAAACGAAACAAGGTTTTAATAAGCATGGACCTATTGATGATGGTGATGATGATGGTGATGATGATGGTGATTATGATGATAATGATAACAGGTATCCAATTGTATATTGTATAATCCATGATAACATGTTGACTAACTTAAAAACGGGAAATACATTTATGTTATCATAATAATATGTACCGCTCGTATAACGCAACTCCCGTCCTAAGACATATCAATGCACTTTACATAAATTACATAATGATTACCCTATCTTCAGCTATATCAAAGGTTACCATGGTTACAGCTCATAATGTATAGTAATCTCTAACGTAGACACATAGGAATGTAAATATATAATACCTATTACATTGGCAACTATAAAATAAACTTAATTACGTTATGAATTTCTTGTATTGTTGTATTGTTTCAGGGCATACAATGGCCACCAACGCTACTTAATACAAAAATAAAAAAGATTGTGGCACCCCCCCCCCCCTCTATTCTAAATCCCTGATCTCCCCCTGAGATGTGATAATGACATGATCAGGGTAGACTTACTTCCACGGCATGTTATTCCCATGGAAACATCACAGTTACAGACGAAGCCATTCACGAGATCCTCACATGCATAACCATTGAGACATGGGTTGCTGGCGCACTCATCAATATCTAGAGAACACAATGGGAAACAAATAATTAACATTATTACTATACAGACTATGACAAATTAAATAAGAGAAGAGTATTTTAGTCTAAAACTAGTCGAAATATATTTGTAATACAGGAAATAACTATAAAGAAATAGATAAAGAATACGAGCGTTTTTTAAAACTATTTCAACTCTATTTATATATGAAATATACTTTTCATCTATTTTCTGTTCCAAATCCTTAACCTAAATGTAAAGGGTTTGGGGGTCTATTTCCTCTTTTTTCTTCCGTAAGAAAATAAAGGAAAAATAGTGTAGGTCTTGAGGAAATACTAAACAATTTGATAGAAACTAGGAAGAAAAGAGGAAGACATTCCTCGAATGTGATTCCAGTCATTTCACCCATATATTATGGGTCATTAGAACCTTGCGTAGATTCGAATATTGAAACAGAACTTGTAGCCATCCATTGCTCAAGCAGAGAGCTGTTTAAAAATTACTATCGAAGTCATCTGCAGCGCAGGAAAGTGGAAGATGTACCTCATGGCTGATGTATCACAAAATATGTTGGTTCGAGAGATTCTCGATCGTGCACATTAAAAAAATGAATGGATTATGATTAGGAAAAAAAACATAGTATGCCCAGTCCTTCCGCCTGGCTTGTTTTAAATAGCACACTATTTTCCTGATTTAACCTTCATGTAAACTGCTTTCTCATAATCGAAATGCTACGACACAAAATAGATTGAACATGATATTTCATGGTAGATACTTAATCAGGATAGAAGTATTTATGAATATGCACCAAGATAAGTATACAAATGGTTTTTATAAATATTTGATGGACATGATTTGAAGGTTTTGCCTTACCTTCCTCGCAATTGGCTCCGATGTAGCCCGGCCTACATTGGCATATGTACTGGCCTGATGTGTCTTGGTCATCGCGTATACATACTCCGCCATTAAAACACGGCTCAGCGTCACAGACACTGTCGGCTAATACTGTAAAAGAAAAAGGTTGATAGATCACTTTATAATTTATTATTGTGTTCATGCACACTTATGTTTCTATTCACAATAGGTATGAACTATTTTAAACCCCGGAAGCTACAAAGATAGAGGCAGTGCAAAATAATATCAGTCACTCCGCCAAACGACTCCGAACCGACAGATTTTTGACAAATGAGCACTGTTCATGGTGATGTAATATTCTACAACTAATATCTTATATGACTAAATAGGTTCATTTGCGAAAAACAGACTCGCGTATTTTTCAGCAAGGAAAAACTTGATGAGAGGGCCCACATGCAGCTGCAGCTTACCTCTGCCTTTGCTTCTCCTCTTAAGCTTCGCTTCTCTCTGCATCAGCACCGACTGTCACACGGTAAGATTCTCTAGGCATTCAGATAGACATATTCACCCCTTCAGTGAATTTTGTTTGTGCGTTTCTGATTGACTTTATTACCACAATGAATTTCTCCCGTTGCGGTTAACACATCACAACCTTAACAAAAATACACCAATCAGATGGACCCGTCCAGTATATTTCCGTGGCTATTTTTAGTTTTTCTACTTGTTTCTTGATTGTACGACTTACCGATCTCACATCGATCTCCTGAAAAGAGCGAATCACAGCACCTGCATTCAAATGCACCAAACCCGTTGACACAGGTACCTCCATTAAAACAGGGGGAACTACTGCATTCATCAACGTCTGGAATTAGAAAGACGAAAAGTGAAAATGTACGTTAAATGCACATGTTGTGACCAGTGAATACTTTATATACCCGTAGAAGTATCCACTACAATAATTTGTTCAATGGTAGGGGGAAAGAAGGCGTGGGTAATTTCACTGCGATATTTTTGCACCTACTTCTTGTATTCAGATAGTAACACAATATTGATGTTCTGGATTGGTTAAAACTTTACTATTTACAAGTTTTCGTTTTGCATTTTCATTCAAATTAATCTTATTTCTTTGAAGTTTGCTTTTTTTCAATAGGATAACAACAGATTCGCAATGATATAAAAGTTAACATTTAACAAAGGGTACATAACAACAACAAAAAACCTTGGAAGAAGAGACGGCTACAAAGAGAGTACAAGCAATGATTTGGATATTGAATAGAACAGATTTTATAATTACAAGTCTAGATGTTCTTACCAATGTTACAATAATCTCCAGTCCATTCAGGGGTGCATTCACATGTATAACCTGAGCCTGACTCCAAACATGTCCCTCCATTGGCGCACGGTGAGGAATCACATGGTTCTTCCTCATCAATAACTGTGGAATATAGCATACAAACAAATCATTACATGAAACGGCTATAAAGGCATTAGTCATCACAAATTATAACGTTCTATCACAGCAGACTTAACCAAGTACATTTAAAAACTTTGTGAAATATCAGTGGGGAAACTGAAAGACCACAAACAGGTTTCGGCGAATAGACCTGTCTACGAAATGTACGCATACTTTTAATCAACGGTTTCTCTTGACAACTGATAAGCTCCCTAGAGACTTGTCCGACATAAAAGTAACTAATATATTCAAAGCGAATTCCATCTATAGAGATGACATTACGCAAAGGATTCGAATGAGGAGTTGGTAAACAAGGGTTCAGGTGATAAACATGTTTATATTGGAATACAGGAGTTAACAGGTGTATTATCCAGAAAGTCCCATGTAGGGTTTTCCCCATCTAGGTGTTCACCAGCAGTGGAAAAAGAACGTGATAATTATGTACATTAACAGAATGACAAGAAAATTAGCCTGATTTGTAATGAAGTCTTATCCAACGCCAGCAAGAACTGAAATTCAAATAACCAAATAAAATATCCCTTGGTGAAATGTTACGTTATTTCTTTTACAACTTTAACCTCATAATATTGACAGTTTTAAAGACTGTAAAGAGCAATAACTGCAATGTTTATTAATTTAACTCATTTTCGTTTGGAGACTTAAATACTATTTTTCAATTGAATTGTTCTTTACATAAATTGTTTACTGAACTGCAACAGAAATAGACTAAAAACACATCTTTGGACTTCATCTCGCGTCTTCAAGTCATATTTGTGGTCAGAGAATTCTATATACAAGATATGCGGTAAAACATTTCTGAACAAAATTGCTACGGCTTAAAAATAACGTTATGAAATACTGTAATTACCTTTAATGACGCAACTTTCGTCCTCGAAATCGGATGGGCAGAGACAAATGAATGCACCGTCGCCACTTTCACAATGGGTTTCCGCTGGGCAGGGGTTGCTGGCACAAAGGTTAATTTCTGAAAGTTTGAAACCAATCGTAGGATAACCACGAGAAACAATTATGATAGGCTTTGAGAACTTGACATTATGAACAATGACTATTAAAGCAAGATAAAGTATTTTTGTCCTCGTAATTTAAATGATTATTACGACCTATTTTAGAACTTTGATCTGAAGGCAATGACAATGATTTCAAAATAGGGTGACAGTAATAATAATTAGTTTATCATAACATTATTATCATAAATTAATTGTCACATTTTCCTGTTTTGTGTGAAGCTAATCGGGGGGGGGGGGGGGGGAGGTACGTGACGGGCGCTATCATCTTTCTTTCTCATACTTTCCTCTTTATTCTTTATGTCCTCATTTTCAACTTTCGTTTTTGTTATTCAGAGAAGGAGGGGTAAGTGCCCCCGTGCCCCTTTGCTCCTATGCTCCTATGCTCCTATAGCTATGCCAGTAAGGGCTAACGTGTGTAGCCAGTATCTTACCGATTTCGGTTTCACAGTTGGTGCCGGTAAAGTAGCGTGTGCACTGGCACGTGCAGAATTCCAATGAATTGATGCAAGTACCACCGTTCTGACAGATGCATTCATCCATTGCTTGACACTCGTCTGTCACATCTTGATTTTCCAAAAAAAAGAAAAAATGAAAAGGTACTACTTATGAAACAGATTAACAAACCAACAAACAAACAAAACAAAGCAAATGATAAAACATTACAATAAATCAATAGTAGACATTACTAAAAAAAAACAGTCAAACACTTACCTATAGGGGTGAGAAATTTGTTCATAATTGTTCATTTCTTCATAATTGAACAATAAACAATATATATATATAATAACCCAGATGATAGGGAATTGAACACAAACAGAATAATAGAAGCAGATGTGAAGTTACATACAGTATACAGCTCCTCTAAACCATGACATATTATTTATTTCTATCCGGCCGTACACTAGTTAAAGGCAGTATTCAGTGTCCGAATGGTGAGACTAGACTCACCGCATATATAGGCTCTGTACTTAATCAGCTCCAGACACAGCCATAGACTGTCAGCGCTAGGTTCTGCTCAATGATTTATGAATTATTGTTGTAAGGTGTCAAATTAGAGCTTGTGTCTACAAACTAGCCCCCCTCCAACAACCGCACAAAAAAGGGAATATGTACCTGCGTCGTCTCGCGTAGAAAAGCGTATGGTGAAGCCATCTTCTGTCTTTGAACCGTCAGAGACAAACCGTGCCCAGACGATCTCCCCTGTCGACAGGAAAGCAGGGGGCCTCTCGGTGCCTGTCTGCTCCAAGTTCCCGGATGTAGAGATGGTTGCTGACCCGAGGTCATTGATGTTCAGAAGATTGCCGATGGTGACGAGGTCATAGAGCAGCTCGGTGTTGAAGTTGATTACCTCGACGTAGATGTGTTTGCCGTCGGGACCGCTTACGAACCAAATGCATTCCTCGTTGTTAGGGTAATTGGCGGGATAGTTGGTAGAGGTGATGTCGATTGTCGGATTGCTAGCGGTCAGGGTAAAATTACGGCTGCAAGGACCGGCTGGAAAATTTCACAATCACACATGAAACGGGTTAAAGGAATTAACAGTGGAAACCATAGATGGCGGTGTGAATACTAAATTATGCATATCCTTGTCAAGTTTTGTAATTTGTGTAAGCATGTGGAAATTTGATTTGTATGGACATATTTTTCTTGAGAATATGACATGTGAAAGCTAAAATTTAAAATATTAAACAATACCCTAATTCAAACAGTTCAACTTTAAATCTTGAGTTACGAAAACACAAAATACATTAAATTTACGATTGGTATAAATAATTCACTTGTTAACTGTAATTAACCTTCAAAACGCATTCCACTGAATGCTAAACTTTGCCACGTGACTAAACGTTATGTAGCTGAGATGCTACCTTTAATCTTCAGGTACACGTGGAATAGTCATCATTTGCGTATGCATTATTGTTAAGGAGAAAAGATAAATTCATTGGAAAATAATTACCAATGGCACACTGTGGTCCCGTCCAACCCGTGGTGCAGAAGCAACTGTACATGTTAACGCCATCAGTGCATATTCCTCCGTTTCTACAGGGGTTGCTTGCACACTCATCAATATCTAATTAACACAAATAATAAGGACGAAATAATATTAACAATTATTGTCATGATAACGATTATAATAACAATAATAATAATAAAGATTGTAATGATAAGAATAGTAATAATAATACTACTGCTGATAATAAGGATAATTAACAATAACAATACAATTTAAAATAATAATAATTACGATGATAAAAACGATAATAATAATCATAACAGCAACAAAAACAATAGTAATAACAATGCAGTTCTCAAAGAGAAAAGAAGAACAATCATTCTTTGAAATTAACAACTTCTACTAAGCTTTGCGTAGGAATTATCTTGTTTTGTATGATTTTATTGACACATTTAAAGGATGTAGAACAACTTTCATTTATTTAATGTATGCTTTAGACACCAAAGGGTGGATCATTTAGACATATCTAAATATCAGAAACAATTATTGAAGGAAATTGAGAGATAGGGAGGTACACCAGGGAAGCGAGGTGGGGCGGGATGGTGGGGGCAAGAGAGAAAGAAAAGAAATCTGCGACCTAAAAACTTACCTTCACCACACAGTGTTCCTCTGTATCCAGGTTGGCAGGTACATGAAAAAGCATTGATCTCTGAATTACAAACACCTCCATTCAGACAGGGATTTGTTTCACATAAATCGATGACTGTCAGGAAGAAAACGAGGGGGGAAATGCCTTTAATTAATGTCTTATCTGTTAAAATTCAAACATACGAGCAAAGAGACATTCACACTTATTACAATATTTTACCAGAAAATTGTTCAGCCTGATAATTGAATTCAATTGAATCAAGGGCAATCAATAAATTTTAAATGAATTTAGGGTAATCAGTTGATTTCAATATTCAATTGATTACACTTGATCAATGCAAGAACAGATATTATGTAGTAGGTCTACAATCAAGATATAATCATAAGCCAAGACTAAAAGTGAGTTTTAAAATTTGAGTTTAAAAAAAAGAACACGAAATAATCAATTTAATGGCGATTTTATGCCAATTCCCCTAAATGTATGTCAGATTAAATGTGCATTTTATTTTTCAATTAGTAAACAGAACTAATGATATATATTAATGTACGTATACAACGCATTACTATTCATCATTGTAAATTCGTGTACTAGGTTTGCTTGCAACATATCTGAAGCAAATGAAATAAGTGCAAATATTTCTGATGTGACTTTCGACCCCTAATATATTCATGACAATGTAAGGATAACCGCTTGGAAAAGGACTCACCGATGGCGCATAGTCTGCCGGTATAGCCACTAAGGCAAAGACAAGTAAAATCATTAACACCATCCTGACAGACTCCACCATTTTGGCATGGGTTGGGGCTGATACAGTCATTAATATCTGTTTAACAGAGAGAGAGAGAGAGAGAGATAGAGAAAGACAGAGAAAGACAGAGAAAGAGGGAGATAAGGATAGATAGAGAAGAAGAAGAGAGAAAAAAGGGAGAGAGAGAGAGAGAGAGTAGGAAAAATATAGAGGGTGGGAGAGAGAGTGAGGTAGAAGAGATATATTTGGGTGAAATAAGATATTATTATAATTACATCTAGAAAATGAAGTCCTGAATCATGGCAATTATTCAAAATAATAAGTTTATAGATCAGAGTTCAGTTTGGACAGGCAACACACTGAATGATATACGAAATTTACATGCATATATACATATACAAAATCATCATAGATCTACACGCAGGATTTCAATATTCAAAATTATTTTCCTACATTATTCCAAAGTGATTTTACTAAACGCTTACTCGTTGCACAGGTAGGGCCCTCAAATCCAGCGGCACATTGGCATGTGAAGGCATTTATTAGATCAGTACAGACTCCTCCATTCAGACAGGGATTGGTTGGTGCGCAGTCATCATTATCTAATGAACGAAGACATTACATGTTGGATTATCACTGTCTATTTTCTGGAAAAAAACATTTTGAAACTATTTTTCATTGAGCCCCCAAATCGATTTGCAAATAGAAAGTATCTGAAATAAATTATGTGTCTCTATAACATATCCTCAGTTTGGTTCTTTGTTTTTACAAGTATTACATTACGGAGATGTCAGGCTAACATTTTTATGGAAGAGATCATAGCTTCGGGGAGGGGGGGGGAGAATTATTAGCACAAATAAATGCAACAAAATTACGTTTAAAAAGGCCCCTATTGGCTGACAAGATGGAGAGTGTTAAAACGAAATCACAGTAAGAATGGATCAGATTCCTCCTGCCCCATATTTTTCTTGATGTATGTATTTACCATATTCAATCTACGACTTGAGAACGTTGGCAAAAATCACCCTATTAACAGCCTTCACTCTTTCTTTTTCTTGATGTAAGTGAAATCATTAGGTTACAAGTCCCTGGTAGTATTTGCTAACCTTTTTGTTTGTGGGGATGTGGGGGGGGGGGTAATAAGACAAATGCATAAAACAAACAACGAATAAATACATATTAATAATAGAAAATATCTAGGTTAGTTGGTCTAGTCGTAGTGTACACACTAACAAATAATGGTACAAATTTGCACCCTATAGAGTGCAGACCGCTGCTACAATAGCAGCCATGTATTGCAGACTTGCACCCTATAGGTGGCTGCTATTGTAGCAGCGATCTGCACCCCAAATGTACCTCTATTTCTTAGTGTGTGTGGAGGCCGGTGGAAGTATATATTTAAAACTTCGTGTGATAGATGCATCTCGTGAAACTTTAATGAAATAAATATAATTGAATCAGATAAACAGGAAGAAGATAATGCATTATTGCCAACAAATGAAATTAGACGTTTACTGTCAGAGTTTTCGGAACGCAATCTCGTTCTCTAAGCGACGAGGTTAGAGACTTTGCGGTCTCAAATTTCGGACATTAAACATTTTGATTTTACTCATTGGCAATAATGAATACGCACCTTCCTATCTTTTACATTTTATGTTGGACATTAACCGATAAATATGGACTGAATTGTACACAATTCATATATTATAAAACAAGATTCGACAGTATTTTGTTCTTACTTATCTCACAGAAGACACCAATAAAACCAGTGACACAAACGCATTGGAAGGAATTCTCCAAGTTTATGCATGCTCCACCGTTCTGACAAGGGTCACTCTCACACTCATCGATATCTAAAAAATAGTACAGACCAAGAAAAAGAAATCATGTATGTGTCCCTTAAACAAAGGGTCTAGTCCAGCGAAAGGTGAAAACATCAATGTGTGAGTTTTTTCATTATTTTAAGGTAAGCAGATTAGTGTGGGCGAATTTCCTATAATATAATGTCTCTTGAAAAGAATTGCTCTACAAATGCCTATAAATAAGACAAAACATACATGAAGTGTTTGCACCACAACCTTCATGCCATATGTAAGTGTAATATCATAAACATGTTTCTGCGTACGGGGCGTGTGACAGTCAGCAAGACACAGTCAATTTCTCGTCATGTTGGTAGTTTCAAAACCTCACAGTATACACCAATTAATATGTGCAACAATATTAACCCTTTCAAATGACATTAACTGTATTTTAAAACTGTATCGCTGTCTCATATTATTTACGTAACTAATCACAGTAACGATGATACTAAAATAGATTCATCGGTCAGATTAACGAACGGCAAAAAAATAAAAGCTGTGTGACATAGAGGGAGATGAGGAGGGACCGATGATGCAGAATGAACGGATAGAATATTCTTTGAAGTGAGCATTTGTTCATGAAGAAATAGCTGCACGCATTGTTGACTCTAGTAGTGATGTAAAGAGAGTGGGAACGAAAAGGAAAAGAAGAAAGGCAGAAAATGAGAGGGACAAAAGATAAGAGGGAGTGGATAGAGGGAAAATGAAAAATAGTAGATTAGAAGAGAGGGAAGGGTAATGGTTGGAAGGGACATAGAACAAGAGGAGAAAGCCATGGGAACGGGATGATCTGGGAGGGGGTATAGATAATGAGGGAGTGAAGGAGGGGAGAAAAAGAGGGAGAAAGAGAAGAAGAAGAAGGGTAAATCATTAAAATAACCTACCAATTTGGCAACGCTCCCCGGTCCACCCACTGTAGCACATGCACACGAAGCTATTCACCATATCAAGGCAGCCACCATTGGAGTTGCATGGGTTTGCGGTGGTTAAACATTCGTCAATTTCTGGAAGATACAAAATAAAAAATGTATCAGGACAAAGTTCAAGCTCACATTTTATTACTCATACAACATAAACTAGTCAGACCCATTGCATCATTTTTTGTTAAAGTGAGTCTGAAGTTCGGGTAATGACGACCCCCAAAAGAAGAAAGGAAACCACAGTAGCACTGAATGTAAACAATATAGTTTTGTCAAACATAATTAGAAAATTAGACAAGGTCCTCATCATAACTACAAAATATTATACTTTCTTTCTTTATCTGTTTCTTTATTTATTTCATAATCTATCAATTTGTTAATTATTCAGTATTCCTTTCGTTACTTATTTATTCATTTATTTTATTTTTATTATAATTATGTGCTGATCAACTGATCAAGTGCCCGATAAACAAAGCAGAATATTATTCTTAAACCTTTTAATTTCCTCGCCAAAACCAAAGATAATATAGGAGGTTACATTTAAAAGTTTAAAGGCATATACACAAGACATAAACGTAACATGAACTGTGAGATTAAACTACCACAGCCACATGCAAACTGCCGAAGACAGAGCCCATTATATTCTGCTTCAATTCTTTTCAATAAACTACCGCCAAATATCTGATCAGAGAAAAGCAGGGCGACATTTGTACGAAGTTTATACCTGTCCTATAGACCCAATTTTGTTTGTTACCGAGATAGTTTTCTAAACTAATTTATGTGTAATTTTCCTTTACTGTTTTTCATTTTTTTTTTTGCTTTTTATACGTTGTTACAATACATGTATTTGTTTCCTTTTATATTACGCTCCCCTTTCTGTTTGTTGGGGGGGGGGGGGGTGATCCTCAAATCATTTCCTGTGATTTCTTTTTTTAATGTTTACGGTGATAAATGAATGCAGTAATACAGTGCAATAAAATCATAACGTTTACAAAATGGCTGTTGAAGATTAGCTTACCAAGTTCGCACCGGTCACCTGTGTATCCTCCAGAACATGTACACAGATATCCATTTGTGTCATCGGTGCACGCGCCACCATTCTTACACGGGTTGCTGATACAGAACAGGACCTCTGCAATTTTCCAGAGCAAAGAGAACAATCATTATGTTACATTACCTGCTTCTTTTAACATAAAGATTTGCTGTCATCAGATCATCACTAATTACGAATCGTATCTTTATAATCAGTAGGGTTAAATTACAATGTAAAACCAATAATACATTACAAACCGCTTTATTTTACATTGGGATGCAAATCACATGGTTAAGGCACAATTATTGTAGCAACCGATAGGATACAATAAATCAACGAGATTGTTAGTTATGTTTGTCCCTCTTTAGAGTAACATGGCCCTGTAAGCATTTATAAAGTTCAATACAGATATTTAACTAACCGGTTTACGAAAATTATCATTCCTTCTTTAGTTGTGCAAAAGATTAAGCACACAAATAAGGGTATAGATTTTGGATTTTTTTATAAAGTTAAATATGCAACAATTATGTTTCTCATGAGATTATATCTCGTTCATTCATCACTTTCTTGCTGCTAATCGAAATGAACCTTACTATCTAATATGATTTAAAAGTATGTCTTACTATCGACGACCCCTCTATTAAATATGACAGGCAGAGTGTCACGTTGAGAATCCTTTATATATATTTGAGTTGTTTGAAAGATGGTTTCTCAGGAGGATGACCTGATCCTTTTGACAAAATACTTTTTTTTTATAGAGGAATTATTCTTTACAAGAACTTACCTTGTTGACAATGTGTCCCAGTCCATGCTGGTGGGCAGGCGCATGTATAACTATCAACCTGATCAAAGCAAGTTCCACCGTTTTGACACGGGCCGCTTAAACACTCGTTGACAGCTAGAATGAATAAATGAAATAACTAATTAGTAATACATAATTCAGTTTATCATAACATTTCACATCGCCATTTAAGTGATTTGGTTAGTAGTGTAAGAACTGTTTCAACAAATTTCATATGATACATAAATGAAACAAATAATGAAAAAGACATAATTCAGTTTGTCATATAATTTCAGATTGTCATTAACGTGAATTACCTAGTAATGCAGGCAACCTTTAGGACATAAATCATATGACATTAATTGTACCTTCATGATAACAAGACGTATATTTCCCTAGATCAATGACGTTTGAATTGCAAGAAAGATTGGAATATCTGACTGGAATTTTGAAAATGTTATGGTTTATGTTTTTGTTTTATTTTGTTTAATGGTTAGCCATCATATCAGTCAATTCTGTCCAGCTAGCCTTCATTGAACAAAAGTTCCACCGATCTCTTCCCTTGTTCATACAGCGTGTTTCCACAGAAAAAAAAGTGGAACCCGGATTATCTTTTCCGGATTGAAATACCGTGTCGCGGCGACACGGTATTAAACCAATCTGTTTCCACAGAGCACAGCATTCCGATTCGCCCCGATTCTGTGTTCCAAGTCAGGAAAATGCCGTGTCAATCGGAAGTCAAGATTTAACCTTTGACCTCGATGGTGGATTCAGATCTACACAGGATTCCACGCTATTCTATTGTGACGTACATTTGCCATTGTTACGTACAGCGCGTATATAAACATATTATTGTATACGCGTATTTCAGAGTATTTTTCAACCAATCACGCTGCAGTGGTGATGCTCCGCCAGACACGGTTTGTCGCTGTGTGTTTCCACAGAGATTTTACAGGGAGTTCGTGGGGGTCGACACGTCAAGATCCACCTCCCAGAGGTGGATCTGATAATCCGCATCTCGGTCGACTCGACCCGACACGCTTGTGTTTCCACAGGAAAACTGACCCGGTATGACACGGTATGACACGGTATGACACGGAAAATACCGTGTTGATGTTTTCTGTGGAAACACGCTGAAAGTTAAGCCATATTCCAAGTTCATAACTTTGCAGCCAGAAAAAAGGGGTTGTACAGTGTATTTTACTTTAATATGAAAGTGAAATTGCTCCGGTGAAAATTGCCACCGATTTTATTTCACCTAAGCATAGGGTAAGTTTTAATTGGGTCAAAGGCGAGGTTTAGGGTTAGGGTTAGGTATTGTGGTGAGGCTAGGGTTCAACGCGGGAGGTCGGTAATCATAACGATTATATCGCAGGAGAATATGTCGTAGGACCCAGAATACATACGTTCAGTACACTTGTTGCCCATCCAGGCGGAAGTACAGATGCACGTGAACTGGTTAACTTCCGCTTCATTCACGCAAGTTCCACCATTCTGGCACGGTGAGCTTTGACATTCGTTGACATCTGTAAAATGGGGAAAATATGAATGACACATTTTTTTTTTTGTTGCTTTACTCAAGGGTTTTCACATTATTAGCTGTATGTTCAAAATGTATTATCGACAGACACACAATATCATTGTAGATTTTGCTAATTTTGCAGTGCAAAGTTGAAACTTTGAGCAAACTATTAGCCTCAAAACTGGCTAAGTCATGTTAAAAACAATATGGCCTATTGACCTATCTGTTAACCTCATTCGATAAACTCAACTAGCATCTGGAGATTGTGAATTGACTAAATTTCTTATCGGTTGACAATGAAATTGTATGATTATTAAAACTTGTCATTGTCCTTCTTCTAGATCGTGTCATATAACAAATAAAAATAGAGATGATTATAAATCTCACTGTAATCTTAGTTTGCATTTTCATTATACGTTGAAAGATGTTCTCAATACTCTGAGGTTGGTTAGACAATCGAATTTTGTCAAGATCATGTCGAAATAATAAATAGTAACTACACTCTAGGGACTAGAATGTATTGAATTCAAATCACTCAATTTCAATACAATTCAATTATATTCAATACAATTCAATTATATTCCATACAATTCAGTGTCAGTAATAAGTTGAAACAGAGATTGAAAATCAGGAAAAAGGCCTCGGCATTGCAATATTTTTTTCTAATTATTTTCTTTCAAAGCCTACCTAGGGTACAGATGTCTCCAGTCCATCCCTGCACACAGATACAGCTAAAGCCCGCTTCACCATCCACGCAAGTTCCTTCATTCTGGCAGGGTGAGCTTCCACAGGGGCGCGCACCTGTTCAAGGGAAAAAAAAACCCCAATGTTGATTATACTACACTATGTCTTAGCTACGGGGGTGCATGTTCCTCCTAATCACATGTAAGGGCGAAACAAAAATTAAATGGTAAAAATAGGGTGAAGGAATTTTACGAAAAACTAAATAATTTAATGCCAGTTGTAATTGGGATGTAGTCGGTATTTATATTCGGTATTCTTTTTCAGTTGGTTCTTTCAATCCAGATTTATTCCCAGCATCTTTAATGACAACATTCTTGATACATCCTAGAATCATAAAGATACTAAATTCATCAGGTTTCACAATAAGATTTAGATTAATGCTTTGATTAAATGATGTTGTCCTTTGTGATTGCGGATAGTCTTCAACCCTTTAATTCATGACGTTCGTGTCGTACATTTCTCTATCATCAAACCTTGACGTATCGAAGTATCCTCCTCTTAAGCACTTTGGAAATTAACTAATGGCCCCTATCTAACCTTCAATTTTCTGATTAGAAAGAGATTAATATAATGTTGAGCCTGACTGGCTAAATGTCAAGTTGGGTTTCACAATAAGATTTAGATTAATGCTTTGATTAAATGATGTTGTCCTTTGTGATTGCGGATAGTCTTCAACCCTTTAATTCATGACGTTCGTGTCGTACATTTCTCTATCATCAAACCTTGACGTATCGAAGTATCCTCCTCTTAAGCACTTTGGAAATTAACTAATGGCCCCTATCTAACCTTCAATTTTCTGATTAGAAAGAGATTAATATAATGTTGAGCCTGACTGGCTAAAAGTCAAGTTGGGTTTCACAATAAGATTTAGATTAATGCTTTGATTAAATGATGTTGTCCTTTGTGATTGCGGATAGTCTTCAACCCTTTAATTCATGACGTTCGTGTCGTACATTTCTCTATCATCAAACCTTGACGTATCGAAGTATCCTCCTCTTAAGCACTTTGGAAATTAACTAATGGCCCCTATCTAACCTTCAATTTTCTGATTAGAAAGAGATTAATATAATGTTGAGCCTGACTGGCTAAAAGTCAAGTTGGGTTTCATCTTGCAAAGAAAGTTGACTTTAAACATCGCGCCCTATACAAGAGGCGTAAGAGCCGTGAGAATCGGCATTTACACAAACATGGGAAAAGGGCATTAACTCTACGACCTGTATTTTACTTATTTAAACCCTACACTGGATATAAGCTTTGTACAAAATTGGGTTAATAGAAAAAAGTCACACTGAGAGCTTAACGTTATTCAATTTAATAAACATGATTATAAACCCTGGTTCGGGTGAAACTAAATTAGTACAATACGAAGAGTTTTGTTGTTATACTTACTTATTCGACAGCGAAGGCCTGTCCATTCCACAGGGCAGTCACAGACATATTTATCGATCTGATCTCGGCAGACACCACCATTTTCACAAGGATTGCTGGCACATTCATCAATATCTGTAATTAAGAAACAACGTTTAGATCAACGTCACCCTAATCTTCGTTATTGTTATTTAAAAAAATACAAGCGCAGAATAAAGTCAGACAAGCCTAAGCTATCAAAGTCCAATGCAATTCGGTCTCGTTGTCCAGGAAAACTCAGGGCTCAGCTTTGAATATTTTACAGCTACCTCGAAACCCACTAGTCTTACTGATTACATGATGAAAATGGTCATTGCCCTATTCTTTTAAGAAGGACAAACGGCATCTAACACCTTTAGTTGTGTTATCAATCTCAGTATGAACAATCCATATCATTCTACAAACGATCTAATAGTAAAACGTGTTAACGTACCATGGAGTAAGCACTTTCATCAAAGACTATTTCAACAGTTTTTAATAATTTTGCTTGGATAAAATTAATAAGAATACATTATATTTTCAAGAAATTGATATCAGATACTTTAATGGTTAATAACCTACTTAAATATTGTTATCGTAATATACATTAATTGTATTAGGGTAGGTTTAATCTGGATCTTTGAACAATATTGACTATCATAGTCTAATATGTTAAAATGAAGCTCTACAATACTTCAAGTTCAAATAGTGGCGCAGTTCCTCCCAATAATGATCAGGCCCTTTGACTTCGTATAACACTATTTGACTTGTATTACATTGACAATTTGTGATTTAAAAAATCTTCACAGAATTTATACAAATGATGATTATCATTCCGATAAATTATAAGTCAGCCAGGGCAAAGTAAGGCTCAATCGAGATATGTGAAGGTGTGTTCTTACTTGTGGCACAGTTAGTACCAGTAAAGCCAGAACGGCAGCGACATACGTAGGAATTGACTCCATCTATACATTGACCTCCATTCAGGCAGGGGGCGGTCAAACATTCGTTGATATCTAATGGAAGAAAATAAACATAAGCATATTAGGTGATGTGAAACATTAGCATGATTTAGTTATATAGTTGCTTTCATCACGTTCTGAAATGGTTTGATGGTCAAAGATTTTCGCAATGGAACTAAAGAGTTTCGCAAGGGAATTAATATGTTACTTATTTAGAGGAGTCCTACGACTTTTCAAACGCGAATAACTATCATGGCAATGTGTAGCATTTCACTTCTGTTTGGCGTGTGCGCTAAGATTCCCCGTCTTTACTTAATTTACAATGTATGTGTGTCTGCATGCATGTGATGCAATTCTTTAAACATTTTCAAACCATGGGTGAAGAAAATAAATCGATATCTTTGGATTTCACTTGACTTATATGGAGCATTGTAATGTAGACTACGGGAATAAATCAGACGGTGGCGAAGAAAAAGATTTTATTTTTTCCATTTGATTTGAAGAACGGGTATTATATCGAATAAACTGGTAAAATATCTCCTTTTGTTAACGCTTATATCATGGTGTATAAAGAACAAAAACAAACAATCCATGATATGGTACATATGTATTTAGACTGTGTTCAATTTCCTCAGTAATCTATATTTTGTAGAGGCCCTTTCAGGAAATCAGTTTTAATACTGAGAGAGTGAGCCTGTTTGAATAAAGCGAATGAAATTAAAAAACAATGATATCGAAGAAGAGTTTGTTTTACTTACTCTCTCCGCAGTCTTTCCCTCTGTACCCGGGGAGGCAGTTACACTGGTAGTCAGCTATTAGATCGTCACAAGGAGCGCCGTTCCTGCATGGACCACTAGCACACTCATTGATATCTATGGACACAAATGAGAGTTACAGAACATCCGAGAGAAGGTTGAGTTCTGGTAAGGTGAAAACTAATTTGTGAGCTTCCTCGCTCATTTTTTTTATTAATGCGTTTTTTCTTTTCACTTTAAAGTTGTACTCGATAGTCGATCAGTAATGATATAGTTACAATCAATTTTGAACCTGATTTTACACCAAAACAGGGTCATATTTTGCAGAAAATGTTCTTGACAGTAACTAATCATCATCATCATCATGATGCTGGATGGGATTATCATTTCAAGGTTTCAAAATAATAATGAAACAGTGTCGAATAAATTGCATGTACATGAACTTACTTATTCCGCAGTCAAAATCAGCAAAGCCTCGCAGACAATCACACGTAAAGTAAGTGTCGAAGTCGTTGCAGTTTCCGCCATTTTGGCATGGGGAAGAGGAGCATGGGTCCACAGCTAAAGAGTACACAGATTTCGAAAACATCAGGTAATCATATTCAAATAAATGCACAAGGTTTCACATCTCTATTTGCCTATGATATGAGTCTACGTCTCCTACTATTTGAATAGGTATACACTATGTACCATGTTCTGACGGTTTAATGTACACGAAGCAAGTACAGTTTAATCCTACTTTTTCACATAATTATTTAAAAAAGTGCATTGTTACATATAGTCCAAATAACGGGTGCGGCTCATTACAAATTGCATGAACCCTCAAGGAACCGTAACTATTTAAAGGTAAAGACCAGTATTGGAAACGCCCCAATTTCAAAAAATGAAATGGAAGCTCTCATTACCAATCATGTGAAAGAATATGTTTTGACTAATACATGATGACAAAAAAAATTGCCGGGAAACCGCCTACTAATTCATATATTTGGTAAATTTGTTTCTCTCATGGTCTGTGAGAGATATAGGGTAGTCCCATATACATCTTTCTGTGTATAGTGCTTGTAACTTTACGAAGAATGGGCCAACTTTCTTATCATTTTGATGATTCCAGAACCTTGCAGATGCTAGATGCTAGATGATCAACCTCTTCTGATCGATTCCACAACGTTTCTTTCACAATGCAATCGCATGACCATAACTGGTCTTTACCTTTAAATGTCGGTAAATAATTCCTTTTTACATCTATTTAAAGATTTACATACCAATTCAATACAATTTGTATCTTTGTCGTTAACAAAATCATGCATCTCTAAGTACAATGCAGAAGTAAGGTTCAATAGTTATAATTACGTGATAAGAACTCATTGGTTTTACGTTCATTTATTTGCAATACAAATTTCTCACTGCTCTAATAGTAAAACTAATAAATAACAAGTTATATAGTGACTTACGGATTTCGCAGATAACGCCTGAAAATGCACTGGTACAGATACATTCATATCCATTGACTTTATCTCTGCATATGCCTTGATTTAGGCACGGTCCACTGGCACATTCGTCGATATCTGTAGATAACAAACAAAATAATCGTTTTTTAATATTTAAAACAAATCCGCAGTTAACCTCTCAATAGATGAAAGATTGTCATGCTTTCATGATTTTCAGTGATTGCGTCACTAATAAGTCTATATCATGGTCTGTTTATTAAAACACATCGCACACTGCGTCATTGCATTACGTTAAAGACCTTACTATTTCAATTAATTATTGTTCCCGATTCAAATGAAGAAAGACAATCATTCAATATTGATCAACATATTGTGCCTTTAACCCTTTGGCCGTTTTGGTTGTCACATAGAACAAACAATGGATTGCTGGAGCGGATCATTGTCACATCTACAATGTGGATGAAACATTATAGTCCTATAACAGCGTCGTAGTCAAGGATCTACGGAAGAGTCAGACATGGTTTCATGCTGTGAACTACATGTATTATCAGCAGACAGCAGCAGCATCAAGATCGTCATTGTCATCATCGTCATCATTATAATCTTACTGACTAGATCTTTGACTGACTAGATCTATGAATAGTTCAGATCAAAAGAAATATCTTATAATTTGTTACGTGTGAGACTATATGATATGATACTTACTTATTTCACAGTTTCTGCCTGTCCAGCCAGCTGTGCAAGTGCACATATAGTCATTAACCTGATCCGAACACACCCCGCCGTTATTACACGGTTGCCCGATGCAGTCATCAGTATCTATGCATTTAGGTAGAAACAGAGAGAGCGAGAGGGAGAGAGAGGGAGGGGAGAGGGAGAGAGAGGGGGGGGGAGGGAGGAAGAATGGGGAGTGAGATGGAGAGAGGGGGGATAGAGAGAGAGAGGGAGAGAGAGAGAGAGGGGAGAGGGAGAGAGAGAGAGAGAGAGGGGAGGAAGAATGGGGAGGGAAAGAGAGATAGAGAGAGAGAGAGATTATGGGATAGGTTGAGGAGACGGATGGAGTGGAAATGGGAGGTATGGAGACATCGAGAAAGAGAATGAGAGAGACAGGCTATTTTCTCGACGCCACAGTACAAGTTTGGTCTAATTTCAAAGATGAGGGTATCATTTCCTTCTTTATTTCTGGGGCGTTTATATACAATTGTTTATTCTTAATCCGTTAAACAATATAATAAATATGACTGCGACGATACGATGTACATCGAAAGACTGTACGAAGATTTCTTTTGTTTTTAAAGCTCAGGTGCAAGTAACATAGTCACGCTGAGATTGTGGGCTGAGATTGTGGTGAGGGGTATGATCAGAGAGGCAATGAATTCAATACAAATATAAAAGACCAGGGGACGGATCCTTCGGTCACACCAAACAATTTTCTAAATTGAATTATATTTTTTTTTAATGAACAGGTCATAGCCATGAAGATCGTATCATGATGCAAGAAATTTCATACCTATATTGCAGTTGGGTCCTTCGAAACCGGCTGCACAATCGCAGGTGTAGTAGACCCTAAAGTTATTACACGTTGCCATATTGGAGCACGGGTTGTTCTGGCAAAGATCGATTTCTGTATGAAGGAGACAAGTTAGCACAGTATTGAGAATAGATAATAGAAACCCACGTCTTTAACCTGACATTTAACTTTAAAAACTTACGTTCTGCGAAACCCCACCAGAACTGATAGTATCACACGATAATGTGAACACTACGTGTGGAGTGAATATGTCATGTAAGAGATTAGTGTTAACTTCGCGTATTGATTGCAGATACTATGGAAGTGTTTCAAATCTTCACTAGACAATAGAATCAATCCTTTTTGTTAAACAGATTTTGTCGCACAGATCAAGGGAAATTACATGTAATATTGAAAAACTACATCTATTATTTCCTTTATTTCTTTGGAAAAACAACAATTATACGTTTATAACCCAACGTCTTTATTCATTTCGTTTTCACTACAACCGTAACAATGCTAGTTTCATTATGACCTTTGATCTAGGAAAACTAACCAGGCTTCGACTGTTTCATTCATACATATATCTGATTTAGCATGCTCCCTCCAATCAATACACAGTTCATGCTTCATTTAACACGACCGCAAAGATTTCAATATATCAGCCTAAAGCAATTTCAATACCTTTGTGCGTCCCCTATTGAATTTTCCGAAGTTGACACTGACATAGGAATGCGAACACTTTTTCTATGCAGGCTATCGAATAGGGTATTAAAATTACATATACAGTGTACATAAAGCGTATTGAAATTACATATGATGAAATTACATACTATATATCATCCAGCCCTTAAGTACATTTATTCAAAGTCTTTTTAATTGTGTTTATTGAACTATATTAAAATAACAAAAGTTAGATGTCTTATTATTGTAAAAGTAACTCAAGGTTTAAGTTGTTAAAATGCTAAGAGCAAAAAGAAAACGTATATCATTACCAGTGTTACAGGTAAGGCCGGTGTATCCGGGGAAACAAGTACAGGTGTAGAGGTTCTTCCCGTTGTTACATATTCCATTTGCACCACATGGACTACTCACACATTCGTCGATATCTAAAACAAAAATGAAAAAAGAGTGAAAACATTATTGTCTCGAGGGGGGAAAACCAAGATTTTCACCAATCATGAACGTAATATATCTATATGTGATTCCAATTAGTGGTATTATTATCATTCACCTTTTTGAGGTGGTTGCAGCGATCAAGTCACGCTACCAGAGGTAACATAGTCTTTAATGCAATTTCATCAACATTTAAATTGGGTTAGATAGCTATTTTAACTAGCTCTATTTGCACATTTCCTTTTCCAAGGTTATCATACTAAACATACTACCGGGTACTCATTTAAAACCCTATGGACAGTTCTCTAAGACAGTTCATCTTGGCTTCTCTGTGCCCCAGGGATCGGTACTTGGGCCACAACTCTTCAACATTTACACTCTTCCCCTTCATGATATCATCAAGAGGCATAATCTCAAGCACCATATGTATGCTGATGATACGCAGATATACTGTTCTCCCACATAAGGGGAAGTTGATGCCTGGATTACTCGTGTTGAAGCCTGTATAAGTGACATTAGGAATTGGATGAAGGAGAATTACTTGAAGCTCAATGACGACAAATCTCAGTTTGTTATGCTGGGTTCCAAGCAGCAACTCGTCAAGTCGGTAACCCCCAATCTGAATATTGGTTCGTCATCAATTACTCCAGTAAAGAAAGTTCGAAATCTTGGAGTTATTTTTGACTCCAATATGACCATGGAGTCGCAAGTATCATCAAGTGTTAAACTTGCGATCCACAGTCTCCGCAATCTTCGTGCTATTCGCAAGTATCTCACCACAAAGGCGGCTGAGCAGCTTGTGCATGCATTTGTTACATCCCGCATCGATTGTTGTAACTCTTTACTCTATGGCATCCCTATGTCTCAAGTTAAGAGGCTCCAGCTTGTTCAGAATGCTGCTGCCCGTCTAGTGACATATACACGCAAGTTGGCCCACATCACTCCAGTCTTTAAATCCCTGCATTGGCTTCCTGTTGAACATCGTCTCACCTACAAAATCCTTCTGATCACATACCGTGCCTTGAAGTTCTCCTCGCCACAGTACATCTCTTCTCTACTCAACTTTCGCAAGCCTGGTCGTTCTGTTCTGCGTTCTGCCAATACATCAACTCTGATCACCTCTAAGACCAGACGATCATGGGGAGATCGAGCATTTGCCTCAGCAGCTCCCCGATTGTGGAACAGTCTCCCTAACACACTTAAGGACTGTAAATCAGTAGATAGTTTCAAGGCCAGCCTGAAAACTTATCCAATGGCCAACTTTAACTAATATCATCTTCTTCTTTTTTATAACCATGTGTAATGTAATGTAAGCAAAATTATATCTAAGTATATTATGTAGCTCATTGTAAGCGCCTTGAGCACCCTCTGGGTGGATATGTTGCGCGTTATAAATGTCTGTATTATTATTATTATTATTATGGGGAGAGTAGCGAATGTAGATTAATGTCTTGCCAAAAGACATTAGTGCCGCGGTGGGACTCGATCCGCAAACCATGTGATCCATCGTCCGGCGACGGATCCAATAGACCACTTCACCTCTAGATAAGGCATTCGTCCTTACCTGTAGCACAAGTAATGCCTGTGAATCCAGCCGCGCACACACAGGTGAACATGTTTTGTTCATTCCGGCAGGTGGCACCGTTCAGGCAGGGACTGGACAAACATTCGTCAATATCTAGAAAATAAAAATCATAATCACGGTATCTCAAAAAGACAAATCATGCATCTAAAGAAAAACAAAATGAATACGAATCAAAGGTACATCTATGTGAATTTTTAAAAGTACCAGCTAGAGATTGTCAAACATGAGACAAGCATGGTGTCCGATTTAACCATTGGAGATTGAATGCCCAAGATCGGTACTGTCCTTATTACCAGCCGTGCGGGTAATACAAATTGAGCATAAAATGAACCGCGTTTGGGCACAAGATATATGTGCCCAAATGTATTTTTACCAAATAGTTTTCGAAAGTGTATGTAGGCGTTGGAAAGTCGTAAAGCTTCCCTCTGAATTTTCTTTTAAAAACAATAGCAGTTACAACTTCTTAAAGAATCAGAGACATACCATTATTAAAAAAGCATAAGATAATCCTAAGTGAAATCATTAAAGTAGCTTCGAATTCATGTTTGTTTTAACTTCCCCCCTCTCCCTCCCCTCTCTCGTTACTACTTTCTTTAAAGAAACGGTGCATTACGATATCATTTTTGTTCAGACTTTAATTGAGAAGAAAAGGAAGAGAAAGAGGAAAGCAAAGAAAAAGAAGAAACAGAATGAGATGAAGAAGAAGAAAATAAAGAAAAAGAAGAGGAATGAAGAGAAGAAAAAGAAAAGAAAGAAAAGAAGAGGAAGAAGAAGAAGGCAAATAACTAGTTGGAGAAGAAAGAGAACAAAACAATAAGATGAATAAAAAGAAAAGACAAGACATAAAAGAAGATAGGGAAAAAAGAAGACGAAGAAGAAAAAAAGAAAAAGAAGAGGAAGAAGAAGGAAATATTCTTACCCTCGTTACACACTACACCAGTCCACCCTGCGGCGCATGAGCACCTGAAACCGTTAACTTCATCAATACAGTTGCCCACATTCCTGCAAGGCGAGGATCCACACTCGTCGATATCTGTGGATTGGGATAAGAATCTCTGTTATACTACTATTACTATTACTACTACTACTACTACTACTACTACTACTACACTGCTGCTGCTACTTCTAATATTATAACTACTACTACTTCTACTACTACTTCTACTACTACTACTACTACTACTACTACTACTACTACTACTACTACCACCACTACTACTACTTCCACTACTACTACTACCACTACTACTACTACTACTACTACTACTACTACAACTACTACTACTATTATTCTACTATTATACTATTGATAATGCTACTACTAATATTAATTCTGTTTACACAGGTAAGCTTCTATTTCAGTTACACATTATTTAGCTACAATCGGATGATATTATACAGGGTGGTCCAAGTTCTTAAAAATTATTTATTTATGTTCAGGCAAAAAAGCAATTTCATAGACATTGAACAAATTTTAAACTCCTTCTTTGCGGCAAAAATAAATGCTTCCTTAAACAAAACCCTCTCTTTCAAACTTATCAATCTTGGTATTACTGGTATTCTTTTTTGTGAACACAGATTTTCATTACCGGTACCGGGGATTTTGACTCTACACTACAGGAAGTATGTATTTTTTTTAATGATTGGGGTTAGAGGGCGGGGGGTGCACCCTGTATAGCTAGCGTTACATTGTACTCACTGGTTTGACAAATAACGCCAGTCCAACCAGCTGGGCAGGTACAAGTGTAAGAGTTGATAGCATCCGTACAAGCTCCGTTGTTTCGGCACGGAGTACTGGCACACTCGTTGTTATCTACACAGAAGAGAAAAAAAGAAGAACAAAAAATGCAAAATAATTTACTATAGTGAGAATCAAATTTACTGAGAAAGAAAATATCTCAAACTTCTTACTGCATGTCTTTGGTAATTAGATACTGAGGGGTACTATTACCAGCACAAGTGGTTTTCCCTTAACGATAATGCTCATGCAGCAGAGAAAGCGAATAACTGTGTATATTCACTTCGTCATCTCCAGCGCGCGCGGAAACGGAAATTTGAATGGTCTAACAAGCTATAGAGGGAAAATTACTGGAGGGCGATATTCCTTGGTAGGTCCAGAAAGATATTAATTCTTATTTTAAATCATAAGGTAAGTCTGACACAATTATGTGCTATGCTACGATGTCGTAGGATATGGAACAGGGGTTGAATTCCCGAAAGTTCGTTACTCCGAAATGTTATAGAATATTGGCATGATTGTGGCGTTTGTAGGGCTTTTAAGAATAACGTATCCTATTTTAGTCGGGAATTATGAACCCTAATTTATTTTTGGACTTACGAACCTCTCAAATAATTACCCTTTTTAATTTTTGAAGTTATGAGCCTTTGGATAAACGAACCTCAGGAATAATGCACAAAAATTAGCAAAATAATAAATTTCACTATCTGGATTATTACAGCAATGTTCAGAATACCACCCCTGGTGTAGGAAATTAGTGTTTCGAAATTGCAAACCTGTCGGTAAAATAATTAAACAAATGAAATAAATTTGTAAATACTAACTAAAAGTTAATAAACCAGATGCCTCTCACAACAGACTTACCTATTTCACAAAGGGTTCCACTGTAGCCGGGTTGGCAGTTACATGTGAATGATTGATGTCCATCTACACAATTCCCTCCATTCAAGCACGGCTGCGGGTTACAATCATCGACGGCTGCAGGCAGAATGGGTTTTAAAAAAAAGGGCCATACGTTCATTTAATAGGATTTGTATTTCGAGATTTCGAGCTCCTCCAGAAATACTCGTCTTGTGGATAATGACAAGTAGAATATCAAAGACTCGTACAAATGTCAAGACGTTGGTCTAATCGTTCAGATATATTCACTAGTTCTACCCACTGGACAACCACCCTGTGGGACGACTACCCCTGGGACAATTACCCTCTAGGATGATTACCCCGGCTAACTACCCCCCCCCCCCACCGATTGATAATTACTCTAAGCGGCTATTGTCTGGGGTAGTTGGATGGTAGTTACAATAGGTGGTAGATGTATATGAGGTATGTGTCCTAGAGGGCAGTTGCCCTAGGGGTAGTTGTCTGGGGGAAGTTGTCCGGGGGTAGTTGAACTAGAGGGTGGTTGTCCTAGGGGGTATTCGTCCTACAGGGTGGTTGCCCTAGGGGGTAGTTATCCTAGGGGGTATTTGTCCTAGAGGGTGGTTTTCCTAGGGGTGATTATCCGGGGGTGGTTGCCCAGGGGGTAGGTGTCCGGATACGATAATTATTTACCTCTATGTCTGGGAATTTTTTCTATGATTGTGATTTACAGCAGGTTCAATCGGTTTGTTACACCTTGGATTATTTCGAATCGTCGGATACCTTGGAAAATAGTGATTACATGTTTGCCAATATTTGTAATAATTGGAACATGGTAATTTGGTAACATTTTTGCTCAACTTGGGGTCCATCTTACGGAATAGCGGATTTACTTCTAGAGTACAATTATACATGTTCCCTTTTTTTTTAACCCAATATGGGTAAAATTGTACCAACATTATTTTAGACTGACGGTACACAATAACTAGTTGTTCTGAGAATTAAGTGAACATTACTACATGAAGCAATTTACCCATCAGTACTCAATTTCAGTTTTACTTGTTATTGTCTTTTTAATATTTTTGTTCTATGGAGGTTTTCTTTTTTGTTGCTTTTTACTCCCTTAGAGCAGGATTTTTAATAATATAAATCACTTTTTCTTCAAACTTCAATCTGGAAACAAAACCATTTCCATCTTATTGCATTGGTAATTCCCCTGACCTCCTTCTTACAATCATGTGTCCGCCATCTCAGGTAATGTACAAACGAAGTTCCGATGGTACTTACATATTCTGCAGAAGCCTCCAGTCCAACCAGGATAGCAGTTACATGTAAATCCGTTGAGCTGGTCAACACAGTCACCTTGCAAGCTGCAACTATCGGTCTGACAGTCGTCAACATCTGTAAACAATGACACATTAACAACAACAAAATGATTGACTCATACAAGACATTTTTTGGAAGATTAGTGACTTCAGTTGAATTTACTTTAGACCCGAATAATGTCGTGCGCAAATGCGTCAAATATCAGTAGATACTATACTTTACTTTACTACTGATCTAAATGGTTTATCGTATATTTAAATCTAGATCGGACTAACACATACAAGGTAAAATGCCTAAACAATGTGATGGATGGCAGCAAAACATATAGTTTCTGTTAAGAGAATTTTTGTCTATAATCCCGGCTACTTGTGTCTTTATTCGGTTTATAATCTACATTCAAAACCATAACAAAGCAATTTCGACCATGAATCAACTTATTCGACAGTTGTATCGCTTTTTTAGAAATATGTATGCGTCGGTCCCCTGGTTGCTTGCTTACACGCATAAACGTGCTTTCTTAGAAGTCAGAGAAAACAAATCATCAAACAAGCAATCATCAAAAACAGTTCTTTGAATTAAAACGCAGAATCTATAACTGAAAAACTTACTCTCTCCGCAAGTCAGTCCCTGGAATCCTGTAGCGCAATTACAGATGTACCCGTTGATTTGATCCACGCAGGTGGCTCCATTCAAGCAAGGTCCACTCGCACATTCATCAATATCTGTTCAATAAACATGATACATTGGCAAAATTAAACATCAACATTATCACCACCACCAGTATTTTTTCTAATTTTGTTGAATCAATTAATTTTGACAACTACATCCACGCGATCTCCTCCCACTTTTTGTAAGCTGCCGGATATCGCGAGGTACCCGATTGTGTAAGCCAGGCGAAAAATCACTTTGTAGGCTTGTCGTACGGATCAGACCCTTCTAAATACAGATTTTGGCCAACATGGTTTCACTTGGTCTGAACATAGCGTATATTCTTTTGTTGTGTGCTTGCCCACCAAAGCAGTATACCCCATGCTATGCCCAACTCGAACTGGGTTGGCCAAACTCTACTAATCAATGTCACGTGTACATATTCGTTGATCACAACATCTTCGGCCATAGGAATGATCGCGATCGTGAAATAAAATAAAATTAAAAAAAGTACAGATTCTAGATTAAATGTGAGGTGGCAATGATGCACTACTTACTATTCCCACAGTTGACACCATCAAAACCATCTAAGCAGTTACATTGATACATGTTCTCCTGGTTCACACAAAACCCGCCATTTACACATGGACTCGACTGACATTCGTTGATATCTGAAATAAACAACAAGAAACCCTCTTGAAATTGCTCGATTTACTTGATTGTACGACGCATGTTCCTGCAACAGTTATTATTACGCGGTCAATTTCCTAATATAACCGAATTCTATACTTTAAACTTGGACCAAACACGATATGTTACCATTAAGATGACCTAACCATACTCAAAACCCTATACTTTTGACGAAATCATTATAACCGGATCAAATGCTGTATCACTGCTTACTTTAGATATAACATGAATGTAAATGAGCTGGTTAGCTACAAAGAATAACATATATCAGAGTTAGAAAGTAATGTCAGCAAGTCCATCATATTTATTATTATTATTATTATTATTACTACTATAATCATTATTTTTATTATTATATTCATTATTATCATAATTGTCATTATATTACTATTTCTATTTTCATCATAATCATAATCATTATAAGTACCTCTACCATCTATAATAATAATACGAGAAGGCTCCGCGGGGGGGCATGACGTCTCCGCCGGCCTTTGTATTCTATTGTTTTTTAATAAGATCGCCGACCGAAGTTGGTGCAGCTATCTCCTCCTGAACCCTCCCCTCGGGGTCCCGGTGCCCGGTGCCATCGTCCGCGGGAGAGTCTACTCTGTGGAATTGGCTATACTCCGCCCGAGGTCCTCCTCCGTGTCGACGTCCAGGGCGAAAACAGATGCGATATGCATAATGCAGGATATGCGTGACGACAGAGATACCTCATGCATATTCAACATTACATCCGTATCAAAGAGAGACACGACAGACGACGAGCAATTCACATTATGTTGCGTATGAAATGCTCTATGCAAAGGGCGGGATTACCCCCCGAGTAAGCCCTCTTGCTATAGGGTCTGCCTTGTACGAGCTACACAAGCCAGAGAGATACACGGGGCTAATTCCCGTCGACGTCCAAACTTATATTAGAGACCTATTTCCATCATGATTGCCGCGATTTTTATATAGTTTTCGTGAATGGAGGTATGAAATCAAAGCTTATTTTGTGATTACTACGGCCATGTATACTGAATTTTGATTATCATTTTCTAAAGGAAAGTTTTCACAAGAAAACCATTGGACTGAAAGTTCAGTCGCAAGCTGCCTTCAGTCAAGTACAGTACACACAGTGCAGCGTAACTCTGGGAAGCTCCTTCACCGGCACCCCGCACCGCAGGCGTCCGACGCCTGCGGCGCCGGTGTTCGAGCTTCCTGGAGTTACGCTGTAGAGTGTGTGAGTTCAGCTGAGCTGAGCTCGAGTCGAAGAGATTTGACACTTTGAAATTGTTATCTGTTGGTTTGCATGATTATCGCCGCGATTTCAATATAGTTTCGTGAATAGATTAACGAAACCTGAGCTTAGAATTAGTAAAAGTATTACTAATGTCTACGTTTTTAAACGACTGTCTGATTTTCTTGTGAAAATTTTACTTTGAAAAATGATTATCGAAATTCATGGTCAGAAATAATCACAATCTAAGGTCTATTATGTTACAGTTCTTGCATCAAATCAATGCATGAAAACTTAGTTATTGAACTAGAAAAATGTTGTTTTTTTTTAAATAGTCTAGGCAATTATGAAGAAGGAAGCCTGAAACCTTAGCCTACTAAACAAATCTCAACAAAGTGTAGACTCTAGGCCTATCCTTTATGAATTAATGAAAAAGTAGCCCCAGAAAAAAAAGCCCCCGAAAGTTGAAAAAAGTAGCCCACAAAAATTTCCCAAAAATTTGAAATAGAGCCCCCGAATTGAAAAACTTAATTTTTTGCCTGCGCCCCCCTCTAGAATCCCGCGATTTCCGCGGGTCCTGAGTTGAGTGTATATATAATATAGGCGTGGGGTCCACGGGTTTCAAGGGGCCATAAACCCCCAAAAGCTCGGGGGTGACGTTCTTCAAATTGGGGGTGGGGGGGGGGAGAGAGATCAGATCGAGTTGAGTGTATATGTAATATAGGCGTGGGGTCCACGTGTTTCAAGGGGCCATAACCCCCGAAAGCTCGGGGGTTTTAGGCATTTAATTAGGGTCAGATGAGCATATTTTTAATACTTTATTTGTGACACTTGCGGGTCACTAATTGGCGTGGGGTCAATACGTAGAGTTGCGTAGTGTTGCGTACCAACTACGCTTGCCTACGTTACTATATGCTGAGGGACGGAAAAGGGGTACGCAAGATGAACGAAAACAATTCAACATGTTTATTTTTTTTCGCGTACTTTCGGCGTAGAAACTTTACGCAGAAAGTACGCCTTTTTACGCAACACTACGCTACATGCCTACGCAACAGTACGCTACCTTACGCCAGATCGACAAAGCAGTAAAAGCTTTCCACACAGTAAGCAACCATAAGCAAACCTGTACGCCAGCCTACGCATAACCTACGCAGGGACTATTTTCCCATTAATACGCAGCCTAATTTCTGCGTAGTCGGTACGCCACACTACGGAACTCTACGCAGTTCCAGTGGCTTAAAGAATAACTGCCGGTACAGTTGGATCGTTTTTTTAATTTTTATATAAGGCCAAATAAAATAAAAAAACATGTTTAGCGTCCTGTTTTTTCGAAAAATGGGTAGGAGGAGGCCCTTTTTTTTTTTTTCTTTCTTTCAAAATGGCCGCTCCGTACATTTTCCCTGACTTTCGGGCTATTTTTCAAGATGGCGGCCGACAATTTTTTTTTTCTTTTTTAAAATCAGAAATACATTTTAGCAGTGCTTTGCATGTTTTTTTTCTTTCAAAAAATTAAAAAAATTAAAAAATAGGAGGCGGCCCCCAAAAAGGAAGCGGGCGGGGACGCTAAACATGTATATTTTGTTAATGGCCTGAATGGCAAATAAAGTTCTTGGTGGTTTTAATTTAGACACTCTCTATATATCTATTTACACCCCCGCCCCCTCTAGAATCCCGCGGATTTCCGCGTGTCCTGCTAGTTATCAATAATATTGGTAGTAGCTGTAGTTTTACTTGTCATACTGAGAACAACGTCCTTACCTAATTCACAATTACGTCCTGTATAACCCGGGTTGCATGCACATGTGTATCCATTGACTAAATCTGTGCAGTCACCATTTACGCAAGGATCTGGCGTGCACTCGTTGATATCTAATCGAAGGTAAGTGATACGAGAAAAAACAGACAAAATGTGTATTGTTAAACATGTATATTGCCTGTATTGGACCTGGTGTGAAAACACACACACAGAGTGTTACAGAGAAGGGGAAAAGATGGAGAGAAAAAAGAGAGAAGTGGAGAGAGAGAGACAGAGAGAAAGATATTTACTATTCAACTTACTTTTTGAAAAAAGAAAGAAAAAATCCAATTAAAAATTCGAATGAAAGGGCATCCTTTAATACAGCAGATATGGGATCGATGCTATATGCAAATTGCATGTTCAATATTATTAATTATTGTTCGTTATTAATCATGAAACAAGTACATATACTGCTAGTTAAGGTACTTACTAATGTTGCAGTTAGTACCAGTATACCCTGGATCACATGTACACATGTACATGTTAATAAGGTCCGTGCACTGTCCAAAAACACAAGGATCCGGATCGCATTCGTTGATATCTATAAACAGATGCATAGGCAATATTTATTTGTATACACTAATGATACATATAATATCCACCAATATAGCGCAGGTCATTTATATCTTCTCTTCTACACTTAACAGTGTATGATAAGTATTCCCGCCGTCTTTGATGAAGCTACTATGATTAGTTGTTCACTTAATGTTGTTCCTACTGGTAACCTATATATTTTCCTTCTTGAAAAGCCACTAAGCTCTTAGACTTTTGTGGAAGTTGAGGCATGGGCTGTTTACAATAAAGCAAACATTTAAGATCCTGAAAGTTTTCCAGATAAGAAACATTGATTTACTATAATCATGATTATTGCACTGCGATGTTCTAATTATTTTGCATGCACTTTTATCCCCTTTCTTTGGCAAAAGCCTAACATCAAACATTGTATCCTGGAAAATTGGAAACGCAATAGAAATGAGGATGTTTTATGCTCAATGATTGGTTCTTTATGCTCATGAACCTTTTGCATTATTAAGTTAATGAACCAAAACCACCGATAAATTGAATAAATTATTAATAAAACAACTAACAAAGTGTAAACTTATTGTTCCAAAACCCAGACTCTCTTCAACTGAAAACCATAAATCGAAATTGTGGTGCAACACCTACAACCACTTCTACTATTACTACTACTACTACTACTACTACTACTACTACTACTACTACTACTGCCACTACCACTACTACGACTACTACTAATACTACCTACTACAACTACTACTACTACTACTACTACTGCTGCTACTTCTACTTCTACTACTACTACTACTACTACTGCTGCTACTTCTACTACTACTTCTACTACTACTACTATTACTACTACTACTACCTACTAATACTACTACTACTACTACTACTATTATTACTACTACTACTTCTACTGTTGATATCTATATGAGCTTATGAGGGATGATGAGATTTCCTTACTTATTCCGCACAAGACCCCTGCAAATCCAGCCGGGCAGTCACAATCGAAGCCGTTTACACGATCAATACAGGTGCCCGCATTTTGACAAGGTGAGCTCTCACACTCGTCAATATCTGTATTCAGAACAAACCATTTAAAAAATGTATTTAAATGTATACACAATTACCTAGTGACGAGCTATTACATTACATTCACTTTTTTATTTCATTGTATCTCAATAGTCAAAATGCAAATTGATTACAAGAGTTGTTGCTCGGTTAGACAAACATTATGACTAGCCCTACCTAACAACAGTTACCGTAATTTAATGTATGCAATGTGCATTCTGACAATTGAAATAGAATTGTTCGTACCGAGTAAATTACATAATTCATAACAAGGAATTCAACAAAGACGTACGCATTAAATTTGATTACATCGAATAACTGAATAATTTAAATTCGGAAATCATTATATACATATATATAATATATAGTTATACTTTCATTAAGAACAGAATTAATGACACGAAAGCGTCGTTCATGTGTTTTGTGGATCTGGGGATAGCATTTAATCAAGTACCTAGACCTGTTATAGAATGGGCAATCCACAAAAGAATGGTGCCGGGAGGTCTGGTTAGGGCTGTAATGGCTAGAAGTGGGTGCTCATGTTAGAGTCTCCATGTTGGGGTAGGTGTATATCAAGAATCAGTCTTGCATCCACTGTTTGCTACTACGATGTATGCCTAATTAGAATCAGTAAAGAAATATGTGTTATGGAACATGTTATATGCTGATGATTTAATTCTAAAGGTTAAAGCAATGCAGCACATGGAGAGTTCGGTTTACTTACTTTCAGCGCACGTGGTTCCGGTATATCCAGGGAGACAGGTACATTGAAATCCATTGACTAAATCCGTACAGACTGCTCCATTTTGACAGGGGTTTGAGACGCATTCATTGATATCTACAATTCAATCCAAATCAAACCAGACATGAATAGATGATAATCATTCAAGATAAAATAAACAGAAAACAGAATTAGGCTGATTAAGACATGTAGTCGGATTTCCATGTAGATTTTGGTTGGTTAAAGTAATTCCAGGAAACAAGGCTACTTGTGGTCAGAATATCTATGTAGATTCGAAATAATGGTTTGTTCCCAGATGCATGCAACAAACGGCCATTCCTAGTTTAATTTTTTTTTCTTCAATTAAATGTACGATCAAAGTGATTCTTTCTTTTCATCATAAATGAGAGGAATGTTTTTGTCAGGTCTGTTTTATTGTAGTGAACAGAAACACGGACATTTGCAAAGAATACGGAATATAAAAACACATCTTTTGATATGTGGCTGTACAAGTGAATGATGAGAATATCATTAAAAGATTTGAAAAGTAACAAAATAATATTCCATTTGGCAAGTCTTAAATAAAAACATTCTTATAGGAATATGTAAAGAAAGAATGGTGAACTATTTAGATCATATTACATTAAAATACATCAGAGTTTCTTGTTGAAATATTTGCTCGAAGGAAAAGTAGAAGGTACTAGACCTAGAGGGAAGCCGGAAACCAACTGGGAGGAGAACATAAAGACCTATTATTGGAATGACACTGCAAGGGTGTACTAGAATGGCAAATAGCAGATACACTATGTGGGGGAAATGTTGCAATCAACCTCTGAGCTCGGAGAAGATTTCCAAGAAATATAGAAATTCAATATGGCCCCAAACATACTTGTTGTACAGTCTGTTCCCTCAAATCCGGCAGCACATTGGCAGGTGTAGCTATTGACCATATCCGTACAAAACCCACCGTTGGCACACGGATTGGGACTACAGTCGTTGATATCTAGGGATAAATGAAGATTAAAATGGAAAAGTCATAAAACTACAATTATTAAAAATAACCGCAAGGCCGATGAATAAAATACAAGTCAGGTAAAGACACTAGCTTATCCATGCGGAGAGTTGTACATGAAGTTAAAATTATAATCGCAATACGAAGGGTCGTTTATACTGAGCTATATGACAAAAAGGACCATAGCGCTTACAATGTTTAAACAAAAATTGAAAAGACACAACAACTTTTGTTTAAGTTGACATATTTTCTATTGTTTCATACTCTAGAATCAGCTACACCAAATCGTATTTCGGCAGCGTAAACAGTTGATGTTGGAATTACGAGTCTTTAAGTGTCATTTATGGAACGAAAAGTACGTGTAGATAAGTACAGAACAATCATGTCAGGAAGGTAACAGGAGCAGTCCATTTCGCAACTTTTCTCTTTTGACCTTTTGACATTGAATAATTGAATATCAGTGGGGTATCATTTTAAAGAAGAATAAACACACGTTCTAAAGATAACAAACTCAGCGGTGATTATGCCATAACAAGAGAGATATAATCAATTAAACTTGAGTTTCCAAACTTTTTTGAAGGGTTTATTAATTTCCTTTGGAATCGAATTCAATCCAAATCATCAGGTAAAATTCGCGGAAGATAATTTTCTTTTTCAGCGTGGGTTTAAAATATCAAGTGGATTACCAATATATCGATTTTCATTAATTTTTACTTTATTGATCATACTTTCCCTCAAAATGAGACATAATAGGCCAGGACTAAACCAAATGCAGGATATATTGTTACCTCAGTGAAATATAGATTCACAGTCTTCTGCTAATGACTATTGCATGATTGGATGACACTATGTCCAAAACTAAGGGACTGCATTTATGACAAACATACCCGAACCTGAAACCTGGTTTGCAAATAACACATACCTGTTCGACAGAGCGGCCCGGTGTATCCAGCAACACATGTACATCTATACGAATTGATGAGATCAGTGCAAGTGCCACCATTCCTGCATGGATCGGAAGTGCATTCGTTGATTTCTGTAAAGCAAATTGTCAAAATGACCGTTGGTCATGAAGTCGTTCTTTACCAAATTTCCAAAAAAAATTTAACATGAGGCTTGTTTAATACGGACTTGTGGTAAACTATTCTTTGAATTCAACCTTGTGGAATCCATTACACATACTACATTTCTGTTCAACTGGTACAAAATACATTATACGCAGATGTTTAAACGTCTTTCTCTATATTTCGTGTCTCATGTGGAGTTTCTTTTGGTGTCGCGAGAGGGGGGGGGGGTAACACCCATGATTCGAAAATAAAATTAAAGCTGTTGCTGATTTTGAGATCATGATGTAAGGCTACTTGGCTCATTCAGCTATTATGTGATGCTCTGTAGTTGTAAAACACAATATTACTAAAGATTAAAGACGCATAGTAATCGGCTCTCATGTGGAATCCGACACCATCCCCTTTTAACTTACCGTTTTGACACATGACACCGTTATAACCAGGGACACAAACGCACTGGTATGATGTAACGTCGTTAACACAATTCCGTGTATTGGCAGCAACACAAGGCCCGCTGATACAAGGATTAATCACTGTTGTTAAAAAAAGCGAAAAAAAAGACATCAATGGTAGTTGTGATGATATTAATAATAGCAATGATGATGATGATCGTAACAAGAATACCATACCACCACTACTACTACTACTACTACTACTAACCATAATAATAATAATAACAACAATAATGATAACTACACTAATAGCAATAATCATAATAATAATGATATTAACAATAAAAATAACGATACAAATATTAATAACTACAATAATAATAACTATAATATAAAATAATAGCTAAAATAATATCCATATGGCTCCGTTTAGTCTCATTTCACAACGCCCCCTATCGTCAGAGCATGGTCAGATTCAGCAGCCTAACATGTTAGCCTATGGACTTTTTTTTTTTAAAATCGTTAAAAATTCATTTTTTGTTTAAACGAAAAGCACATCCACCCCGACGTACGTTATCACTAGCTCTTTCATTGGAGCCCTCATGTCTCATTGACTTTTGAAAGTTCACCCTCCGTAATTTTTCAAAATAGGTTGCAAGCTCGTCATTGCCTATAATACACATGTGAAACAAGTCTAACTTTGGACTCAGTTTACCAAGCGATTTGAAGATTATAGGTCGAGCACACGAAACATAAAAAGCATGAATTATCATAGATCACTTCTGCCTATTTCATTATGTCCATTTCATCCAACCCCCCACCGTAATTTTTCCATTTAGTAAAAGCAAACATTTCGCCGAGTTTAGCAAAAACATGAATATTCATGAACGGTCAGACAATACAGCCTTTTAGTACGTAACGTATAGTGAATGGGAATGGGCGATGATCCGTTCAGGAGGTAGAGGTCAGTGGTTTGTGCTGGCAATGTTCACGCGAGCGAAAATGAGACAATCGGAGCAATATGAATTATAATATTAATGATAATATTAATAATTACAATAATAATGGTAATCTTGATAACAACCTTAGTATCACCCATAATAACCAAGGAAACAAATTATACATGTTCTACTAGAATGATTAAACGAAAGATTAATCCCCCCAGACGATAGCTGCTTAAAAGGCGTAGGCAAGCTTTCTCCAAACTACGACAGAACTCCCTCCTTTAAGAAATGTATGGCCACGACCCTGATTGTAAAGCTGAAAGTCACGATTTAAACTTAAAAGTTAACAGACTGTAGCTAACTATATACGTACGTATTTCACATCGGTCACCGGCGTAGCTTGAAGGACAACTACAACTGTAGGCGTTAACAAGATCTGTGCAAGAGCCACCATTTATACAGGGATCACTCATACATTCGTCGATTTCTGTCAAGAAGAAAAGTAAAACCAGATTAATTTCAATACTTCTTAACGGATTTTAGGAATCGTTCTATGATCATGTCTGTTTCTATATAACATAATCCGAGTAGAAAAAAACACATATTGATTTATGTTTTTGAAAACCATTTCATGGTACAAAGATTCAAGTATTGTGGTTCAAGGGCGATCTACATGTAGTCTTGTGAATTGTGTGAAAGATGGAAAATTACGGCTTTATGTTGCCAACAATTTGTATTTTAATTGTAAATAATACGTGCTTGGAAATTAAAATGATGAAAGCTATGAGAATTTCAAATCAACTGTCACTAGACAAAAATCAACTTTACACTAAAATGTAATAATGTTTCATATTTCTTTTTTCAAGGACAATGAAATAGGAGTATCCTTGATAAAGGAAAACAATCTTCTCGGTACGAAAATGTAAAAAAGACATTCATAGCATGTTTTAAAACAAACGGGGGATTTACAAGAATTTACATTACAATAACATTACCTACTCGTTAAGTAATATGAATACTTTCAGGTGTAATAGTCTAAAAATCAAACAATCGTATCCGACCCTCCGTATGATCCGAGTCTCATTCTCCGTATTACTGTTAATAATACACAGTGACCACATATACAATTCTCTGCTAATTAAATCCCATATGCATATTAATTGCCCGATTAAATCATCAATATTCAAATTATGCACTCAGTGCTTTGCTTCACAAAACCGTCTCAAATACAAGTTCTCCAACATCCAGCTGAAACGCGTGTTAACTTTCATACACGGGTTGTCGGTGAACTTGTACTTAAAACCATTATGACAGTTTCGTGAAACACTGCCTTGGTGATTAGCTAGGTCCCATCTATCTGACGTTGTCAGCTATGTTGTATAGAAACTGAGGATTATCATTCGTTTAGATCAGCACTAGCTATATATGGGCAATATAAGAAGCTATTACATTTTCGTTTAATCTAATTCAACAGTTTACTAACCTTGGCAAGCATAATCGAAATCCAAATCCACACATGAAAAGCCAGCTGGACAGGGATTGCTGTTAAGCACACATTCATTACCATCTATGAATTAGAAGCAAAGGTAATGACAGGAAATAACATTTCACAAATTCAAGAGAAACCTACGATAAATGTAAATAATGCCAGATGTATACAATGCGAAAGGGTTCGAGAGACTGGTGGTTGTGCAGCTCAATCACTTTCCAAATTGCTGTCCTCTATGGGTGATTTTCGCAAAAGTTTACTTGGGGATAAAAAGAGGTGCTTTCGTCGGGAATCCAAGGCATGCCCCTAGCTCCAAACGTCTTATCCACCAGGCCATGGGGCGAACCCTACTTAAGATTTTCGGAGACACCTGATTCAATCGACCAACAGATTGACAGAAAGAATAATTTGAATTATGTTTGAAGTCAAATGAGCAATGGAGCCATGTCTCAAGTCTACTTGCTACATCGGCTACTTGTTGATCAGGGGTTCAAGTCCAGCCGCGCCCAGGCTAAGGATTAAAGCCGAAAGTGTTTGATAACAGTTACAGGTTACTTTTGAAATCACCCCGTCCCTAGGATAAGACGTAAGATGAAGGGTTTGTGCTTAGGGGAATCCCTAGGTTAAGAGCGTAGAGCACCCCATGTTTTCCATAGCAGTTCACATTATTATTCTCCATGTCCTATCCGTTTTGTCTTCTCAAATTGGCACCAATTATTCTTCTTGTCAGTTTAACAATTTACCAATGTTGATAAAAAAAAATTAAAAAATTGGCATTTTATAGACAAAAGGGGAAAACCCAAGTGCATGATACACTTGCACATCCCAGTTGGTTATACTTGGAGAGTTTTAGTGATTAATTTCACCATTTTTCTTCGAGGCTTCCTGGTAACGAGGGAAACACCCCAAAAAGGGTTATTATAATTAAAACAACAACAAGAAAAACAAGACAAAAATGTTGCATGTCTTATACCTCAGTCTCAAAGCAAAACTGATATAACCCTGAGTCCAACCAGACCGATATTTTTGCCACTCGGGGTAATATATTCCTTTGGCCAGTCTGGTTTGCGTGAATGGGCTACTACGCTCTTTCACTGCAATGCAGACAACTTAGACAACATTACTTGTAGAATAAGATGAAATAAATCCCCCAAAGAGGCCTTGATACTCACCAACCATGAAGGTGATATTGAATCCAGCAAAAGGCCCATTAGGATCATTTTTGTCGGTAATGAACGAAATCCACACGATATCATTTGAAACATCCAGAGGAGGAGGAAGAGGATTAACGATGGTGCCGTACAAGCCATTGTAAGACGCCAAAGATGTCTAGAGAAAATGATTGACACAGTTTGAATTAATAAATGCCAATAGTTTCAATTTCATGAACAGTGGAGGGTTCAGGATATCGGTTTGGATGCCTTCCCCGGCCGAATTCTCCCATGATTAATTTTAAAGAAAAAAAAAGAAAAAAGAAATATACCCCGGACAAATTGTAGGTCCGCCTTTTTTTCTTCTGTTACCTGGGATAGTTTTTGGTCGCATGTATTCCTATATACAATGAATTCATGTTATGAAGTCCTTCTTTATGATATTAAAACAGTTGCAATATTTTTGTAGTAATTGTTGGGAGGTTAATACTAATGGCTGTACTACTTCATGTCTACATAATTATCATTCAACGAACTTACCCCCCCCCCCCCACCCCCATCCAAATTTACCATTGACGTCATTTTGTCTTACCGCTTCGTCGATACTAGCGGTTGGGCCACCTCCTATGTAAATATCGTCCTTCTGTGGTTCGATATCTATAACGTTGTAAACAAGGCGGATCTTCTGGGCTCCAGGAAAGTAGACAAAATAATAACAGGCTCGCCGTGATGGATACTGATCCGGGTGGTCTGGTGAGAGAAGATCTCCTCTAGTCTCGTTGAAAAAATCCTCACCGCAGTTTGCTGTGTAAAATGTTCAAAGGATAATCGTGAAAATCCAAACGTAGGCCTATATAATATATCAGCTTTTCTCTGTATACTATGCAACTAAAGTTATTATAAGGCTTTATTGACAAGAATATAGCGTAAATTAAAACTTGTTGTCTCTTTGTAACATTTATCGGCATCAATAACAACTACTGTAACTAAGGCTATGGGCCTTTACCAAGTAAATCCAAGGATTATCAGGATGAGCCTTGGTAAACCTTGTAAAAGTTTTTCGGTACTGTATATATGAGGGGTTATCCCCCAAATGACTCATTTTGGGAATACGACTATTTCATGCTTTTTCTGACTCTCCATCCTGCTAACTATAAAGTTATTAAACAAATAAGTTGCTGCACTTTTTTTTCTTGATTGGAAATCTGCCAGGTCGGGGCAAATTGCCATCCTTGCCCCTCCTTTAAATGCGGTAGCGTCTCTCAGTATACATTTTCAACCACTCCAAATTGCAATTTGCAAACCAGGGGTTCTGGAGAGAGTTATGCACAAATTGAAATACTTGTTAACAGGTCAATAATGATTTTAACGGCTTTGCATGTGCCCTTTTCCTCTCTGAATCTGCCCATATGAATGTCTATGACTAAATAGGAATACAACCAAAGTATGCATATCTTCCATTGATTTTGGTTTGTCGATTATAATGAAAATAAATATGAGTAATATTTAGTTTTACCTCCTAGATCATATAGTTCACCACAGGTTTCGCCGTGATAACTAAAAGTGCATAAGCACATCGGAACGCCCCCAGATGGTCTTGGTACACAAGTCCCTCCATTTTCACAAGTAGTTGGCGTACAATCTGACAAACAAAAACAAATATAAATTAATTCACGATTATAAACATAACGATTAGCAATGTCTAAATTAATGTAATAATAGTGAACATGAACATTAAATTAACTATCAAACTTGTCTTAAATGAACTGCTCTCAACATGACATACCATTGTAACTAGATGTATTACTAAAGAGGATGTACAGTCGACTGGATACGCGAACTGAGGGTGAACTTAGCAAAGAATTAGTTCAGGAGCAGCTTTGCATACGTTCCACAACGTAACTCGATCTTGAAATATATTCGGACACGATCCACATTTATATGCAGTTTGATTATCTTTTGAATTTCATTGACCTGTCGGCATCGGATTTGATCAAGCTTGTCGTATACAAAGACGCAACTATTTAAACACCCAGTTGCAGAGGTTTTAATATGTTAATTTATTATAACTTGCATATTTGTTTGTAAATTATATTTTCATTGTTTTATATTCCATTCGATTTTTATGTAATCACGGCCTCGCTGAAAACAGCTTTTGTTGAATGCGGGCACACTTATTGTATTTGTTTTTAACCGTGAATAAATAACATAATGATACCATACTATACCATCATTTTGTTGTTGTTATTATATACACAGCAAGATGTTTTTCACAGAAACGCGAAGAGATTTTTAATGTGTCGCTTATAAGATTCATATATAGGTTATGGATATAGACGTATGTTTCACGTCGACGCCAACACATCCAATCTAACTACTACAAGTAATCTGTTCGTCAGTTTATCAAATTGGTCAATTTGCTCATCTTTCCCTTTTTTCCTTTTTCTTTTATTCTTTTCTTTCTCCCTTTTTCTAAACAATACAACTTAACATTTTAAACTACACACATTTTCTTTTCTCTCGGATAGTGTCGTCTCTAAGCCTGCGTTAAATTACTTATTGTAAATTGTGTTAGGTTATAGGAGATTTTGATTTTCAACAGTCTGAGAACGAATAACTACAAAATGGTAGAAGACGCTAGCATTTTTTTTCAACCAACAATTTATAATATGATTACATACACGTCCACCTTATAGTGGATGCAGTTAAACTTTAAGTGTCCTTCAATGAAATCAAACAAAAAATAACAATAGTGCCCTCAAAACTTATCTTTACAAACATTCTGTCTAGTAGATCTACTTGTATTTTCTAACTTATCTTACTAGTGTGTATTTTTATGTACCCACTTTTCGTTTAGGCCTCTCGCACTTTGTTCATGTGGAGTTGGTGCATTAAAAATACTCTATATTAGTGTCGTAATTAATACAAATCTATTACATCTATAAAGGGCCAAAAAACTTGAATTCCCAGGCGCACTAGTGCAAAGGATACCATCACATTAAAGCGTCTGCATTGTACACAATCGAACTACAGGAGTATTAAGATACAACGCACAATATGAAATATAACAATTATTGTATAAGCAGGGAGTTGACCTTGAATTAAATTTGAAATGACTTTGACCCTAAAGTGGGCGACTCTTTAAAAAGAGAAACATTTCGGGTCACTTAACCGTAGGAATGCGACAGTATTTTTGGTATTGCTTTATAATTAAGCTTGTGGCTCAGAACCGAAATAGTGGACTCTGAACAAAGGTGCAAAGAGTGGCACCACAGCTGAGCACTGCACTTGTGTGCTGATAAATACTTCGCAACAATGACACAAATTCAGACAAAAGATTAAATTTTAAATGTCTATTTAATATGAGATCCCACACAATCGCGCCAAAATCCCACGTTTAATTTCATTTGTTTCGCTTTACACACGGTATGGGATACCGTAGTTTGTTATTTACGGGTGAGATCTAACACTTGGCATTCGCGCGACGGCTTGTTTTTTTTACAGCGGTTTACCGCACTTTATATGAACCTGAAAAAGGCATGAAGATTGTTTCTATAACCAATACAAATTTCCCTACGTCATTACGATTCATTCAATTATCTATTTCATTTTCGATAGAAAATGGAATGGGGAACTACATCAATAAAGCCCCAAGGCATTGTACTCGTAGATCCGGTGGGGCATCATGGGGGGGGGGGGGACCGATCTTTTGCGCTATTATCAAAGACTTTCAAGAAAGCACTTCATATTAATTTAAAGAGCGGTGAACGTCACCTTTTGAAATAAGAGATTGAAATTGCCCTATAATTGATTTTCTGAAAGTCTTTGTAATCTCATTTACTGTGATTGAAGTTTAATGTCGCACCTGTTAAAGAAAGTTCCGACATGATAGGTGAACTGTTAAATTTCAAAAAGTGTTTTCAACTTTAAAAGATCATGTTTTTTCTTCTGGTTCTTCAATTGCTTCCTCCTTTCGGTTTTTAAAGAAGAAACAAATTGTTTTTCTGATAAATTGATCGGCTACTAACTAAAAGCACAAGTTTTCAGTTGTATTGAGTACAATTATAACATTTATTGTCAACAGATCAAATTTTCGTACGGGATCTGTTATCAATGGAAACGAACGTGTTACTAACATTGGCTTTAAAGAGATTTGGTATCTTTGTTTCAGATTATAAACACACTCCTGTATATAGCTCATACTGCAATCATAATTATAAACCTTTAGGTCAGTCAGGAATCCCACAACCCTTTACAAGCCGATCGCTTGTCTGATTATCAAGATATTTATGATTGGAATTCAAAATGTCAAAAACCGTTTTCCCAACAGTTGTTGTAACACTACAGTATATTGGGGAAAATAAGTTTGATAAAACCTGTCACTCAAAGATGTTTTTAACGGCACTTCATGATCGTTTAAAGCACAATTTTTAGGGCTTCTATATTACACAATAACACATATACTGATAACACGTAAGGCCATGCATCTCAGATTTGTAAAACTGGAAACATTGTTAAACAATGCCTTTAAAATGATTAAACAAAATATTCTAGTAATTATAAACTATTACCTTTCTCCTTTCAACTGTTAACATAATATTATTATGTTTAAGGGATAATAATGATGCATTCATTATGGTCTAATTTTAATTCTACGTTTGGGAGGGGTAAACCTATTTCTAAAATAGGCTTGTAAAGATGCGATAAAATCTACCAACGTAAATATTACATTATTAGCAAAATGAGAAAATCTAGAAATCTAGAAACAATTACTAATACGTTTATCCCAGACACATGTTTACAAGTAGAATCAACTCAGACCTAAACAATGACAAGATTCATTCAAGCAAAGATATATAAACCATACTAATGTTTATGTAGTATATATAAGGGCAGGTGTGTTAGCAATTTTAATATGAAATCTGATGTTAGGGTGCACCTTAATGTCTACCCTAATGAGGAGGCCTCAATAAGTTAAACAAGACATGTCTGGCCATACATTTACGCAGAACAATCACCTTAAATCAAAGCAGTGCGTCTTTGGTTGATTCGCTCTTTTCCACAATTGGATGTAAATTATAAAAAAAATGACGTAGGCCACAATTTTCGTCCCGCCCTTCCCCAAGAATGCTTAACCTGGTTCATCTTCACCCCTTATTTACTTCTTGTAACCCTCCGCCAACAATGGACGCAAGAGAAAAGGATTAAATGTACATATTTCCTTTTCGTCATGTCTGAATTCCATTGCTGGAGTCTAAGCATTGTTCATATCGCTTCTCACACATCTTAACTATATGTAGAAGGCGCAGGACACACAGCCATTTCGCTGGGTAAATATTGAATATTTGCTAAGATGAATAGGAGTGGTGCCATAACATTGACATGATATATCTCTATTGCCTCACTCGAACATCTCGGAGTCATCTTGAATCTAGATCTATATTTCTAATATGCCTTATTGCATAGAGCCACTTTGGGTGGTATGGACGATTATGAAATAATTGCATTCTATATTTACTCATACATCATATGAAGTTCTATGTTCTATATACACAGATTCGAAGAGCTGAACATGACATTGTCTGCCGCCAATATTAGGGCCCATCTAGAATGTTATGGAATTGGCGTGTAGTACCCCACCCACACCACCATAAAGAAAACATGAACAATGATTCGGGGCTGATGTATACTTCAAAGGTTTTGAATTTCATTCCTCGTCCAAAGCCGGGCCTGCGGCTTGATATTGTTCATATCATCAGAGTTTTATAGCAAACCATAGACCTTTTACAAAGGTATTTATAATGAATCTCTGTAACAACGGCTCTTCAGCTACTCATAATAATGTTGAGCGTAACAATAAAGACAAAAAAAATCTTTATTGATAAGGAAATGATTAACATGCAAACGTCAAATCCCATTACCCCTGGTAACAAAGGGGTAGGATCGAAGACGGAAGCAAAACCAAAAATAAGAAAGCCCCAATGCGATGTAAGTTCAGATTTTAAAGTCATAGTGTAGGCCTACCACTGAGGTTACACATGTTCCTAGTTGTGCCAATATGCTTACTAATTTTGTTTTTATTGTGTTTATATGCATTTAAATGAATCTTTAATTGCAGGTGTATTTTTTTATCAGGGCTTTGGTGGACCACATTTGTGTGTTCTGAACAGGACACTCCGACTTAAGATGCTAAATAAACCAATAAATAAAAAGAAGTATTAGTCAATGGATCTGATGATAATTGTTTCACATTTGTATTTAAGGGGGTTGAACCGTATTATGAATTGGCCGACGTTTGAGATAAGGCGTTTTTAGAAGAATAGAAGATTTATCCTTTAAATCCACTTTTTTAATAAAATAAAGCATGACACTTCTCTTCTTCAGGACTTTTGCGTCATCTTATGGCAACACGTGGATTTAGTATTGGAAATATATATATATATATGTACAGTATATAACCTTTGTCACTGTTTTTGTTTCTAGAGTAATTTAGTTTGAGAGTATTTAGAGTATTTATTTTATTAAGAGTATGCTATTTAAGTAACTCTCTATATCTTTTGACAATTATATGAATTGATTAGATCACGTTTAAAGCACTACGAATATGTTTTCATTTAAGCTATTTCCAGATAACCTACAGTTTAAAGTCCCAACCACAGGATGCGAGTTGACCATTTCTCCCTGTATTCATGTTTTTACCCGGGGCACACTTTTCCGAAAAAAAAATGCTCCATCTACTGAGCCACAAATCTTCCCGCCATTAAATATCAATAATGTATTATCGGGAAATACATTGCGGTCTTTTCTTCTGTTTCTCTTTTCTTTCACATTTTCATTGTTTGACATTCCTGAAGAAAATAACAAAGGCCCCAGGAAAATGAAAAAGCATAAAAATAGGGAACCTATTTTGAAACCAAAAAATAAGCTTTCACTGTTCACTGCCTGCCCCATTGGTATAAATCGGCGGATGTGGCTTAGACTGCTTGATATGTTTTTTAATTATTTCAGAGAGATGAGGTGTGATCAGACCGTGAAGGGTGCCATATCCAGTCACTATCTACCTTTATTTCACCTTTTCTGTCTGCCCCCTCTCTCTCTGTCTGTCCTTTAGCTACGTGTGTTTTTACTACCAGTCTCTTTTCGGCGCTCTGTATCTCCCTCTCTCTTTCTCTCTCTCTCTCTCTCTCTCTCTCTCTCTCTCTCTCTCTATCACTTAACACATAATTGGGCACAACTTTGCTCAACTCGATGTTGGTTACGTATCCAGCCAACTTTGAGCTATCTTTTCACCCAAATTGTGTAAGATATTTTGCAATCAGGGTCAACATGTAAACAAATTGCTTCCAAATGGGCAATTTATTAACCATGTTAAGTAAAAGATAACATAAAAAATAAAAAAAAAGGAAAAATTTAGGTGGATACATAATTCCCCCTCATGGCACATTTTCTGCCCTATGTTTATAAGAGTCTCTCTCTCTCTCTCTCTCTCTCTCCCCGCCTCTCTCTGTTTCTCGCTATATCTACTCTCATTATCCACACATCCCTATCCCAGCCCCTCTCCCTTTCCCTTTCTCTCTCTCTCCCTGCCCACCTTCACATTCTCCCCCCTCTCTCTCTCTCTCTCTCTCTCTCTCTCTCTCTCTCTTCTCCTTCTCCTCCTCCTCCTCCTCCTCCTCCTCCTCCTCCTCCTCCTCCTCCTCCTCCTCCTCCCCTCCTCATCTGTCATAATTTTAGCTTTCTAAAATCGGCTTTGCGTCATATATTGGAACCACCTGTTTACAATGTTTTCCCTGAAGTCGGAGTTTGTGAATTTTCTGGTATTACATTCATCCACCTCTCATGAAAGTCATGCATAACCCAATCAGTAAACCTATCTCAGAATTCTACTAAGCGATTAGATAACGTATAAATCCTAAACTTTTCAACAAGCATTGTATTCCCTTTAAAGGTAACGTATTAACACAATTATTGCATATATGCATGGCTTATATTTGCAAACGGTTGATAATACATATGACTGTCGGAATGAAATGAAATTCAGTTACCTTAGAACAATATATATATGCCCATCGTAAGTAATACGAACGTAAAAACAGAAACATAGTGACGAGAGCTTACATTTGAAACATCCTCAACCGCTACATACATAATAGCACAGGCTATCTTTAGCCGTTCTTTTACTCGTACACGTTGGAATCCTAGTTGTGCGAATATATCAATGAGCTGCCAAGCAGCTACAATAACATTCTCACCTTGTGAAACAACCAATGGCACCAGAAAGCAGAAAATCACTAAAATCAATCTCATCTCAGCCATTTTGGTGTCCTGTGTTGATGATATCTCCTACAAGAGTCCCCCGGTGGGAAATGCAAAAATGGCGTCACGCCTTACAATCTGTTAAATCCTCTCCTCAAATTTCGCAGGGTGTAAAGTAGTATCTCGTAATGATTTGCTCATGAAAGAGAAACAATAGCGGTACCTGAAGATTAAGTACAAAGTCATGTATTTGATGATTACTTTCTTGCCGCTTATGTCAAGAAAAATGTTTCGAAACGAGATCAGCTGAATTGTGTAAGCAAGAGAGCTCTTCAGATCACTACCAGACAGTGCTTATGTGGATCCGCGAGAAATTGATCCAAAGCGTGATTTCTCATCAAGCAAATTAGAGGCGTGGTACTTTTCTCATATGCACTTGACGACTGTATTAACCCCCAATCACTACACCCCTTTAGACAATCGCACCGATTTTTGCTTCCAGACCGGGCTCACTGCACAGAAACTTCTCGGTTATACCAGTTAAGTACACACCCCTCTTTGTCACTTTTT